ACGTTGCACCTTCTGCTTTCCTGACAGTGCTGCAGAGGAATAGGATGCTTTGGAAAAAGTTTGATAATGTCCTTGCTCTTTACCTGCAGCATTGTCTGTTTTCTTTTTGTTTGCCAGTTTGGTTCTTTCCTGATGAACTGATGGTGAAATGGGTTAAATGGAAAGGGAAGGTGTAATAGTAATGTGTTTAAATGTAGTAGTAATGTGTTTAAAAAAAGACTGGATGTTGCAGTCGATGCCATGGTTTAGTTGAGGTGTTGGGGCATGGGTTGGACTTGGTAATCTTGAAGGTCTCTTCCAACCCAGTCATTTTGTGAATCTGTGAATTCTGTAATGCTGAAATGTTTCCTCGTCTCTCACAAGTTACATCTGTAAATAAGAAAATGCACAAATATGGAAACTGTAGTGTCAAGGACTGACACCAATCCTTGAACAGAGCCTGAGTAATTACTAGGACACTGTTAGAATGACCTCTCTTTTGCCTCTAATGAGCATTGAAAGGTCTTTCAGGGTCCTTTTTTACTGTCTGTGCAGGGTGTTCAGCCAACAGTGTACACACTGAGAGCCCAATTAACAAGGTAGCTCGTCCATGTACAAAGCCATTGTTATTTTCAAAGTTTTTTGAAACCTGTCCTAAATTGAGCCACTTGGTGTGACAGCTTGTGCTGGGGGTTGAGATCTACATTTAAACATCAAACTGGGAAGAAACAAGAAGCAAAACCCCCAAATCCAGACAGGAAAATAAAATATTATAAATATAGGAATTAGAAATGTAGGAATTTATTGCAAACTCCTACATCTACACTCCTATCACCAACCTAGGTCCTCTGAAAGATTTGTATCATTTGTATGATCAATACATGAAGTCTCCTTAATGAAACACTAGATCTGGAAGCTCTTATCTCAGGAAACCCTGGAAACAGAGTGCAATCTGTGTTTCTCCAGTGGAATTGCAGATAATGTCTCTTTTATCATATGGTCAAGTTGGATTCTACTGTCCTTCCTCAAACTGGGTGTTAATGGAATTACATTCTGGCCTGTACCAGCAGCAGTGTGGCCAGCAAGACCAGGGCAGTGACTGCCCTCCTCCCCTCAAATCCTATTTCCTTTTACCTCAAATGTTTGTTCTGGCCTTTTCCATGTGGCTAGTCAGTAATATGTACTAAAGGCATGTAGCCTCGGGTGAAAGATGTAGTAGGAGTTAAAGTATTTGCATTTATGGCTGGGTCTGGTCGTGTTTTTTTCATTCTAAACTAAAATATTATTCTGTCATTGTTTTAAAATTGTTTCTTGTTGCTGGAGGCAGGCAAGGCATATTCTGGGGTGTCCATGTGCCATGAGGACACTTGGGTCAGCTCCTTCTCCACGTGCTGGGCTTTTACCAAGCTGCTTGGAGAAGCTGGGAAAAGCCACTGCTTGGTGGCTGAGCAAGGACCAAGGGTTGGAGCCACACATGTTCCATGCAGGCAGCACCAGCAGGCACGTCCATACAGAAGAGGCAGTTGTGGCTGCTTTGCTGAGTTTTGCCCAACTCTGAGTCCCTGGGCAGGGCTGAAGCTGCCCTGGATCACAGCATGACACTTGAGCTGCTCCAGAGTTAAATGCTTTTCAAGTACCTGTACTTGGCTAGCTGTCCTTTGACTTTTTCTTTGCTGGGGACCAAGATAGAAATCATCAGGGGAAAAAGGTTCCTTTTGCTGCTGTTTGTGTGTCCAGCTCTGTGAATCAGTGCCAGCTGCAAGACAGGAGCAGTCCTCTAATTTCCACTAATGAGAAATCCCTCCTACTCTCTCTGGACAGAAAATTCTGTCTTACATTCCTTTAAAACAAAGACCTAATTCTGCTCTTACTGCCTGCAGTTTCAATTCTGCCTCAAAATTGCCATAGAGAGGGCAAAGATGGATGGTGCCATGAAAAAGAAAATAATTATTCCAGAGTATTAAAGACTGGAACAAACTGCAGCAGCGCTTTATGAGTGCCCAGGTCTGCTCGGAACAGATGCCAAGTCCCATCTCAGCAGGGCAGAGTGGGTTGGGATCAAGACCAGCCAACAGGCCACATCTCCACCATGAGTTTAGAGCTCAGATGCTCTCCCACAGCTGCCTTTGCTGGTTTACTCCTGTGACAGCACTGATTTATGTCAATCCCTGGTGCCATGCAGGGAGTGGGATTCCCAATGACATTGTGTTTGAGTTAACCCTATCTTGGAGAAAAGCCATAAGGACATAAGCTCCATATGGAAAGTAGCCATGGCCTTGGGTGCTGAGTTGAAGAGCATCCCAGGGAGGTGGAGCTCAGCCAGGAATCTTGCCCACATCAGGGAGACTCTAGAGGTGAGTGCAAATGTGTAATGAACCATAACACAGAGTCACCACACCAATAAAGAGAAGCACAAGACCCTTGGCTCTCTGCATGTACCTGGGATGCTGCAACATTCTCAATAACCAAGTACCTGCAAATGTAAGGGCTGCTCCTGAGTGCTCTGGTTTGCATCGCATCATTTAAGAGGTTGCAAATATTTTCCATGTGTTGAAATGAAATTATAAACAGATTGAGCCTGGGTACAAGTAGATCCACTGGTCTAAATCTGACTAAGAAAAGCCTTCAATTAAAGAATGAGGAATAAGATGGGCAGGGAGTGAGCTGGCATGGAAGGAAATTCTGTCAATTTAGTGAAAAATATTTTGTGGAAATATACTCTCCACAAAGGTCAAAGGAGAGTTTCCTTGTGCAGGAAAGCACGTGATGTAAATATCTACTAAAGCAGTCCATTGCTTGAGTGTAACAAAAGTAACTGTATAAAACTGCAAAACAGCACACACTGCATTTTCATGGGGAAATGTGTTGTATTCAGTGATATTAATTGCTGTGTGGGCTCAATCTTCAGTGCAATCCGTCCACAGGAAACAAAGAGACTGCAAAGGAAATATAAAGACAGTCAGCTAATAGGAGCCATATTCAATAAAATTGTGTCTGCCTTCAGTGAGCAGGGAGGGTGAGGTGTGTCTGCTCTCCCTTGGCAGGGCACAGCGTGGGCTGGCCAAGAGGGGCCTGGAGCAACACGCTGTGTATTCACACATATGTATGTATAAATACGTGTATGTGAGAAATACAGCTCCTGTTTTGAGAAACTAGGAAAGAAGGGGATTTAATTCAGGCTGCTGGTGGACTTCAGACCCTGGGTGGACTTCACCTTTCCTGCAGTTTCAATAAAGTGCCGGTATGTTAGTAAGCTGTTTTGTTTGCCTAGCACTTAATAGAAGGATTATCTGGTTTCTTTCTTTTTCTTCCAAGGTTGCTTTTCATTTTCTACGCTGAATGTGTTCATTTTTAGTGGTAGCATTCTCTCTCATTCAGGCTCCAAACTTCCCTAGGAAGTGACTTCATGTTATTATTCAAGCAGATTATTGCCTGGAGTGGCTGAATTACCTAGTGTTCGTGTAATGGCAAGCTCTCAGTCCATATGCATTTAATGACTGTAATCATTTGTTATTTTCCCTTTATTAGGTTTGTTTTTAAAGAAAGTTTTACTGTGCTATTTATGATATGCTAAGTGGTGTAACTTGCTGTAGGAACATATCGCATACATTTTATTTTTTAATAGGTTTTGCTTGCTAAAATGAAAATCTTTTATTTACCCTAGTAGGGCAGTTTTTTGCTGACAGTTTTATTATTTCAATTTCTCAGACATTTCTTTCCTCTTTTGTTTCCTCAGATACTCCTCCAGGGAGTTTTAATGTGCCATTCTTTATTTAAAATTGGGTTCAGAACGTGTTATTTCTAGCAAGGCAGGGAAAAAGTGCAGTACAGCATACATTAAATAGTGGGATGTCAAGGTTTTATTTTCTTTCCCCTTTGAGTTGTGGAATACTTTCCTCATTTGTGTCATCTGGTGATGAATTGCACTGATAATCTGTGTTCCTCATCAATAACTGTTTCCTACCAGTACCAGGCATAAGCTGTGCTCTGCCTAAAGAGCTTGTGACTGCAGATAAATGAGCATACATATGTGTGTGAGTAAAGGAGAGGACCTCTGAGAGCATTTAAAATTGTCAGAGGTGCAGGCTACTTTAATAAACTAATGCTCTATAGGCAGTGGCAGCAACTCCTGAATGCATTTCACTTACTCGTGGGGAAAGAATGGGACCATTCCTCTGGGGCAAACCCCAAGCCTTGGTCAGTGGAGTAAAAAGTGAACCCCAAGGGATCATAAAAGGTGGGAGCTTTACAGCCTGAGTGGGCCAGCACCAGCAGATGGAACTGCCTATGCAAAGTTCTCTAGGGTGGGACAGCACGGAAAGCAGGATCTGCTCCCATGGCTCTTGCTGGGGTATGATTGTGATTCCCTCTGCAAGTGCTGGTGGGTCTTTGACCACTCCCTGATGTGTGATGGATTTTCCATTATAGCCTGACCAGTCTTTGGAGAAAATCAAACTCAGTTCAGAGAACCAAAGAATACGCTGTGATGGAAGGGGCCCATCAGGATGATTGAGTCGAACTGGCCCTGCACAGGACACCCCAGTCACACCCTGTGCCTGAGAGCGTTGTCCAAATGCTTTTGAACTCTGTCAGGCTCAGTGCTGTGACCACTGCCCTGGGGAGCCTGTTCCAGTGCCAGCCACTCTCTGGGTGAAGAACCTTTTTCTGATATGCAATTTAAACCTCCCCTGATTTAACGTCAGGCCATTCTCTTGGGTCCTGTCACTGGGCACCAGAGAAGCGACCAGTGCCCGTTCCTCCACTGCCCCTCATGAGGATGTTGAAGAGCACAACAAGGTCTCCTCTCCAGGCTGACCAGACCAAGTGACCTTAGCCCCTAAACATAAGGCTTCCCTTCCAGACACTTCACCATCCTCGTGGCCCTCCTTGGGACAGTGGGGGAGCCCCGGATCTGCTCTGGCTGCCTGTGCCTACTGCATGGCCTTGACCATCCTTTAGTGATGCAGAAAGGCCATTACAGAGCACATCCTCACACTTCTGCTTCCTGTTGTGTTTTCCAGAGTGTCTGGGGGAGAGCTCTTCGACCGCATTGTGGAGAAGGGGTTCTACACGGAGAAGGATGCCAGCACCCTGATCCGGCAGGTCCTGGACGCTGTGTACTACCTGCACCGCATGGGCATCGTGCACAGGGACCTCAAGGTACGGCCACAGCACCACTCTGTGCCCTGGGCAGCGTTAATGAAGGTTGTGTAATTGTGTGAGCCTAACAAACACGTGTGGGCTGTTCCAGTAAGGTTGTACCATGGGAGAGATGCTCCAAAGCCTCCTGGAAACCTCACCCCAGAAGGATCCCCCTTAAAAAGTTCTGTGCCAGGATTGAGAGACAAATGGGACTTTTGGTTTTTTCGGTCTTCAGGTTGCTGTTTATTTTTCTCTTATCAAAATTCAGCACACTGTCTACGTATCAGATTTAGCGTACAAAGAAATGGTACTAAAGTCACCAAACACACAGGTTCAAGGTATTTTAAAGCTATTTTGTCCAATTAACACTTAGAACCTATTTTATTTCTACCTTTCTACCAAGAGCTAATTATTTGTCTGTTCACGCAACATCTGAATTGCTGTTCTTTCTCACCAATCACTCTGTGCCACCAACACTGCAGAAAATGGAACAGATGAAGAACAAGAAGGAAATCAGACAACACCCAAAATCCTCCATCTTGTCATCTGTCTACGCCCATACTAAAAACCCAAACTCTAAGTGTTTCACCCTGTGATAAACTATACTACTATCTATTTCACATAGTTATAGATTCCAATTCATCCCAAAATCTTGGAAGCTTTCTCCATGAATGAAGGTTAAAAGCAGTGTTCTCCTGGGGATCAGGACTTCTCAGGACAGGCAGAGAAAAATTCCCTGTGCCCTGGGTTCCAACACCCATGGAATTGGTTTTAATGAGGACTCTGCATTCAGGGCAGTTACAGTGGGAGCTCTGCATGTATGATGTGAGGAAAAGCCATTTAGACCCAAAATGTTACATTAAGGTAGAAACTCCATCTCAGCTAAGGTGTGTTCACTGCTATAAAGTATTTTGCAGGTTTGCTGTGCTAAATTTACTTTTACTTAATTATAACTGGTAACAAATGTGGGGGAAAGTTGAGCAATTTCCTATCATTTTGAAGAGTGTTTTTGTTAAGGGTTTTTCTAAGCACCATTGTGTGCCAATGTGATATTTAGATGATTTTCCTTTCAGCTGCACCATATTGTCACATCTAAACCTCTCAACTTTTCAGGTAAAAACCCCCTCCCTAAACGTTGTTGTTTTATTGCTTTCTTCCAGTATCTTAAGTGTCATTATGACAAGTAGAAAGGCTTGGATTTGATAGCATTTTAGTGTTTTAAGTAATAAATTAGCAGAAGGTACTAGAAAAAAACACAAATTTCAAAAGAAAACTGTGGGTTCAGTTCCTGAGCTAGTTAATTCTGCCAAAGTTTACTGCCAGAAATGAAGACTTCAGTGATGGAAATAACACCTCTGGTTCTATTTTGGAGGGATGCTCCAAACAGGAGTTTCCTTGGATGTTGAGGCAGAGCTTGTATTTTCCCCCTGTAAAGAGAGAGGAATTTGGCTACAGGTTATGGGGCTTATATAAGCCTTATAAAAAGGTTTAATGAACACTAATAGAGTCAAGAGTCACTGCAGTCCAGTCCAGACAGTCCCAAATAAAGGGTTTCCTGTAAGGAGGCACTGGTGAGGCTTCCATCTCCTACAGTCTCCACACCTTGCCCTCTGCTCCTGTTCTTTTCCTGCCCTTATGCTGAAGTACATAGAAACATAAATTCTTATATTCATAAGAGCTCTACAGAATTCCAGTATGGAAGTGCTGTATTTTAACATGACCATCTTGCTCCCAAATTCAACTTTTAGGAAACAACTTCAGGCTTCTTTCTGCCACCAGCATTTTTGGAGTGAGCTCCAAGAGCTCTTAATGAAGATATTCCATTGTACAAGGTCTTGGTATTCTTGTATTTATAATCTAAAACAGGTAATACCTCTCATTTTAAAAAATAATCTTATTTTAAAGTTCCTGTAATAAAATATGGGCTCCGGTGATTTGGGAATTAAATTCATGTACAAATTACTTTCAGAGTTTATGTAAGGCCAAGCTGAATTTAGATCAAACCAAACTTCTCCAGTGGTATTTTTTAGCAAAGACTAGCTCTTTTTCTCTTTCTCTCTTTTGTTTGCAGATTTTTGTCAGTGCCATATCAATTGTCAAAATGACTCATAAAATACAGTATATGAGGAACACCTGCTGTGAATTTCTGTTAGCAAAAACATACCATGATGAGAAAAACAGGGATATAATAAGACTTTTTATGATTTCAAAATATCAAAATAAGTGTAAGGTTCAAAATGAAACTCTGGGAAAGAATCCACTCTACAAAAATACAACCCATGAAACATCCATAACAATTGTTTATTGTAATTATGTGATTATTCAGATACCAAAATAGTATTTGCTGTAGTTGGTAAAAGCAGGTCTGGGCTCTAATCTAAGTAATGCAAGAGCAGATTAGAAGCGATGGCAGCAGGTGATGTCCAGGGGAACTCCAGGATGCACAAAAGGACTGAAAGACTCAAACAGCTCCACTTGGTACAGAGCCACATTGTTAATGCTTTTTGAATTAACCAGCTTGAAGAAACTTAATTCTTTCAAACAGTTTTGACTTCTAAATGTGTGGATTTCTTGGCCTTACTAAATGTATGTGGGAACCTAAGGTGAGTTATAAAAATTGTTAGGAAATAACTGCTTTTCCATTCATTCCAAGTCTACTGACCCCTCAGGAGATCACAAGAGCACCAGTAAAAATTAGGAGTGACTTCAGCCTAGGGCAGAGCATGACATGGAATTGTAGTCCCTAAAAGAGTTAAGCACCAATTAAAGCACTGGTTCTTGCAAGGTATCATGAGAAAGAAACAAAAATGGTACAACTGCATATTTATTTTTGGGAACCAAATAATTTCCCTTTTTATTTCAGCCCTGCTGTCCCGCAGCTGTGGCTGTGGCTTGCAGATCCTCCCATGGCCATTGTGTCCCTTGTTTCCACATGTCCTGTGGATGAAGCCATCACTTGATGCTGGGGCTGGGGAGCCAGGAAATGCTTTGACCTCCTGGATGGGGACATTGCCCTCCAGCATTCCTTCAACCCCCCTTCCCCAGAGCAGATGGAGAAGGGAAGTTGGATGCCGGTGCTGCTGAACTGCAGTTTCTCCTCCTTACAAATCCAAGCTTGGATGTGTCCCAGGGAGTCTGAGGATGTTGTGTGGCCACAGCTGCTCCTCAGCCTTTCCTGGAGCACACAGCAGGCTGTGTGTCAGCATTTGTACCAGCTTTGGGCAAAAGACTCCAACAAGGCTATTTGGAAGCACTGGGCACCCGTCACTTTTATAGGTGAAGACCCAAAGGTCCAAGACACATTGCCACAAGGCTAAGTGCTGCAGCTGTGGACCCTTTCATGAGCCCAGATGTTAATCAGGGGAAGAGCTGGGCTCTCACAGCACCCAGCAAGAGCTTTGCTGTGTAGCAGCAGCACACTCAAAACACATGGATGCAGGACTGTGTGGGGCAGATGGAGGCTGGTTGGGCTCTCCAAGCTACCTGACTCTGGTATAAAAAGTCACAGGGCTTTGTGGAGTGATCCTTGTTTTCTCTTGCCATAAACAAGTTGCTGTGCTCGATACCATAGCACATTTTTCCTTCAGCATTTTTTCCTAATCAGCTCTAGCTGAAATATCCTTGCTTCAAGTCTGTTAACTGTAAAGGCATTTCCTCTCTCAAAACAGTTTGTTTCTAGTGGAGAAGATACAAAAATTCTCTAATACCTCCTGTTTTCCTTTTTCTTTTTTCAAATACTGTATACAAGTTTTTAGTACACTACCTGGATTTGCCATATTTACTTGATTTCAAATGAATCCTTCTGTTTCACCATTCTGATGAGATAATATGTGTCAGATATATCTTAAAAGTAAGGGATTCACCGTAGGTGTTATTTGAGGTGCCAGAGGAGAAGTTTGTTGTCCCAGAAAAGTTGCTCAAAGCTCAGGGTGTCAGGGTCTTCCATTTGTTGCAATACAGGAATCTGGAGAGGATCTCCATGTAAGTTTTGAGAACAACTCTTTAGGCTTAGAACAACCAAATGATGTTTGTGTATGGTGTGACTAGGGATTGTATTAAATGCAATGCATGGGTCACCAGGTGTTGTTACTGAGCTCACATATTCAAAACTCATTGTGCTTATCCTCCTTTCTAGCCTGAGAACTTGCTGTACTACAGCCAGGATGAGGAGTCAAAAATCATGATCAGTGACTTTGGATTGTCGAAGATGGAGGGTAAAGGAGATGTGATGTCCACAGCCTGCGGAACTCCTGGCTATGTCGGTAAGAGGTTTGCTTATATTTTAGTGAAAATGAAATAGTCCTCATTTTCTGGTGCTGGTACATGGTGCACATGAGATTTTACAGATATCTGGTAGAATTTAATGTTTACCTGTGTTCTGTCTTGTGTTCTCTTCCCCTTTGGGGTACAATTCTCTAATCCAGCTCTGGGTCTGTGGGATTCACTTTCATGTTCTCAGTCCTTTGCAGAATGAGAGTTCTCACAGATCTTGCTTTAGCTACACCAGGAGCATGGGAAGAATAGCCTCAAATGTATTTCTCCTGCAAGCACCTAGAAAACTTTACATAATTAAATGTATTATTTTAATCATAAAGAATAACATTTGCCAGATTCCTGATAGAAGACAGTAAAATCAAGGAGCTGCATTTATTCAGATATGTTCAGTAATCCTGTTACAATCACATTAAGTTACTGACTCAGATGTCAAAATGCAAAACCTCTTTAGATCCTTGGGCCTTCCCGGACAGTGTCAAATTGTCTTTTGTCATTTATTCTTTGCTCTTCTGTCCATTTGGTAGCGATTGTACAAGGCTACCTGTTAGCAGCATGTTTACCAGCAGCCTTTGAAAACAGTTAAAGTAGCTGAAAGTGAGCATTAGATGGCAGGTGGTGATGAGGTCTGTTTGAGCAAACACATTTAAATGGTTCCCTTTGTGTACAAGACATCCAGCAAGCCTGTGCCTCCTGCTACACCAGCACCATCAGCTGAGGTGGGAAAATTAGTGGATAGATTTCTCTCATCCAGCAGGAAAGGCTGGATGTTTTCCAGCTGTCAGAAGCTCTTTTTACTTCGCAGCTGCCATCTCACCTCTTTTCATAGTTCTGATGATAACATGGTACAGCAACTCAGAATAGGTGATTATGACACAGTGATACAAATTTGTCACAGATACTTTTTATGGGCATTATCTTCACACTGTGCAGACACATTCTATCCCACTAAAATCAGGATAAAGAACAGATTTCTGTGCTTTTCCCATGAATGTTTTATTTTAAGACATGGGCCACGATGCACTCTGAGTAGCAGTCTTGTGTAATCCCACCGGACTGGAAATCTTCCAAAGCAGTAGCAGGAATTGAGCTGAGACAGCAATTTTCATAACGTTTGCTGTCAGCTCTTCTGTCCCTATCAGACATGTTTTATTTTGCTCTGGAATGGATACTGACTAGAATGAGTCTCAAGACTCTGGAAAGCTTAGATGAAATTTGCTGAAGCGCTGGTGAAAATGAGGGAGTGACTCTGTTTGGTCTCTGAGTGATCTCATGCAGCTTCTCATCATTGTTATTAACATGAGAAAACTTGCTACTTTGGAGAGGAAGCTCTTGGAGGCTGTGACAGGAGCTGTAGTGCTTTGGGAGATGTTTGAGAGCTCTCATTACCCATGGTCTGGCCTGTGATGGCTGCACAAGTGCCTCCAGGTTTGTTGTTACCTTGCTGAACACAGGATTTACTCATCCTGGTTCAAGAGGTCATGGCCACTTATTTCTGAAGTGCTGACAGGATTTTCCCCCCTCCTTCACAAAGAAAACAGCTTTAAATATTTGTTGTATTTCTACTTTTTCTTTTTTTTTTTTCTTTCTTTTTCTTTCTTTTTTTTTTTTCCTGCGCAGGATGCAGCTCCTCTTCAGTGCTGTACTTTTTTTTAAAAAAAACACAATAGGTTGCTGGCACATTCTTCAATCTCAGAAGGTTTTTGTTGCTGGTCACTGTGGTGATGCCCAGAAATGGTCCTCCTTGAGTGTTACACCTGATATTGTGGCTTCTGCATAGGTGGTTTGCAACTTGCCCACGTCCAAAAGCTTTCATGTCTTCCAGTGTCACTCCAGCTTGCAGCACCTGCCAAGTGCCTTCAAATCCAAGGCAGAATTATTCCTCCTAATGGCACAGCATGGATAAAAGTCCTCAGCCTGGCTGGGAATTACAAATGCCACAGCCCCAACCCATCAAGTGCCCTGTCTGCCACCTCTTTTTGTGTTTTGCTTTTTCTTTCCCACTTATTTTACCTCAGGTTAAGTAACACTCAGAGATCCATCACTTCAAACTAATTTCATCGTGCTTTTCTTCAGAGATAGGCAGAACACCCTATTTTCTAAAATCTTACTAGAATTAATTGTTTTTATCAGTTTAACCACTTTGCTTTTAAATTGCTGGAAGATGTTTAGGCACCTATCACATGTCAAAGGCACCCAGGGCTCTGTTTAGAAGTCATTGGCATCTGCTACAATTTATATTTCATCTCCAGAAATGGTGCAGTCAGGTCACACTTTGCTTCTGACTCAGAAGCAGCCCTGGTCTTAACTCATGTCTGCTGCCCAAGTATTTGCAAGCCCCCTGTCATTTCTGTCTAATTTCCTTGATCAGTATGTATTTTCAACTCCTTGTGCTTCATTTTTTATCTCAACTTTTCTTATTTTCATCTGCAAAGAATAGTAGTATCTATGACACTAAATGCCTGTTTATGTGGTCTGGAAATTTATTGAATAAGGAAGGGTGTAATTATAATTAAATTCCTTAGAAAATATCAGTTTTCTTTATGAAAATCAAAATATTACTTTTCAACTTAGACTACATCTAAAATGTGCCTAACCAGTAGTGCATTAGCACTTCAGCTTTTAAGGCTCTGCCTTGCAGATTTAATTACTGTCAAGAGTTCTGAGTTCTTATTTTTTCAGGAGTTTTGTCAGAGACTTTGGCCCTGTGATGAAAAGCTGATGGTTAAGATAATTTAACCCAATTATCTGAGCCCCTTTTGTTAAAAGACCAATCTAAATGTTTGCTTACTGAAAAGGGGATTTGACAATACAACATTTTCTAAGAGGGTCTTGCATTCTCTTATCTGCTTACAATTCTTATCTCCATTTCTTATGGAAAGAGTCTGGGTGATGAGCTGGGACTAGACACCCAACTTTTAGATAGCACCTGAATTGGGAAAGGTGTGGCAGCTTGTGTGGCTCATTTCACTGCAAATTAGGTGTGAGGACTGAACTGCATGGGTCTGAACCCATTGTCCAATGTGGAGAAGAAGTGGTGTTCTCAAAACCCTGAGTGACGTGTGTGATTATGGGCAAGATCCCAAGAAGCCATTAGTGATTTATAATTTGAAACATCATGGATTTGGGCTGGTCAGTTCTTGGCCTTATATAATAACTCACTTTTGATGTAGGAGCTGTTCAAACCTGCCTGAAAATGAGCCATCCCTGAGCTGTGCCAAGCTGGGCACCCACCAGGAGGTGACTCCAGTCACTCAGCAAATTCTGCTGTAGAGATTTTGGATGTTTGGGAATTGGGTCTCACTGAGTGACTTCCCATGAGAGGTGGTCCCTCAAAAGCTTTGGTTATTTCTGCAGATGGAACTTAGACTTTCAAGATGCTTGAAAAATTAGAAAAAAAATGTTAGAAAACCTGTCTGAGACTGATACCTTGTTAAAGCTGACCTAGAACTAGGCTAGACAGAGATAAAGACTGAAGTAGGGATTTATTAAAAGGCCCTTAGTGGATACACCCTGGGCAGCACAAGAGCCCAGCCAGAGCTACACCCAAGATGATCCCAAAATGGTCACAAAAATGGATGACTGGACACAGGGTCTCACATTTTTATAAGTTCTGGTCCATTTGCATATTGAAGTTAATTGTCTAATTATAGCTTTAGCTTATGAAGTCCTATCCTTCTTGTTTTTCTCTCTTCAGTCCATGTTGTTTATGGGCCTGAGATTTGAATCATTTGTCCTTGGTCCCCAGCTAGAGAAGGAATTGTTTTGTCTCCCTACTCTGTGGAAAGAGCTCACCATCCCCTAATATGAAGCTCAGAAGTACACACTAAAGCAGCACAGAATCTAAAAAATATAAAAGCTAAAACCTGAGGTATCAAGGCAATCTGCTCTCATTTTGCAGAAACGCTTTCTGCTCTCATTTTGCAGAATAATGAGATGTGTTTGTGGCTGACTAATATCTTAATCCTACTGAGATTTAAAATTCTGGCTCTGAGTCCCAGTCCTCTTCAAGTAAAATTTTCTTCTACTTCCCTGTCATACAAATTGGGCTGGTTGCTGGATATGTGATTGTGCCCTGTACACCCCACTTCACTCACTGTTTTCATTTTCTGTAGTGCTTTTATGAAAGGTCATTTCACAGCTTTAATCTCTGCTCTGCCAGAAATCCAGTAGTTTCAGATCTCACCAAAGCCACCTGTTCCTCTTAGCCCTGTGCAAGACCACAGCATTTAAGTAAGCAACAGATCTCCACGTTGAATTTTGATATTTGATATCCTGTGAGTCAAAGGTTGGAAAATATTCAATAAGCCTTCAGAATATCCTTATCAGAAATAAGCTACCTCAGGAGCCTTTAGGCAGTATCATGAGTAATCAAGTAAAAATAAAGCATGGGAATCACTCTGAGGGTTTACTCAGGCACGTGACAGGGCAATTTCTCAGCTCTGCTGCTGACTCCTGACAAAGACTTGTGTTACCCTCTGCTAAACATAAACTGCATAATTACCCATGGCAGATATTTAAATCTGACTCAGCAACATGCAATAAGACTGACAGGAGCATAGAAAGTCAGCACTACTGCACTGAAATCCTGCTCTCCTTCAGAAAAAGCCTCAAACTTCAGAGTCTTGGCTGACCAGGACAAGATGAACACTGGAGGAATGTGTGAAAAAATGGAAAGAAGTTGTTTTCACCCCAAGAGTCAGTGGAAGAAGGACTCTGGTCTTGTGGTGAAGTTGCCTCATGTGCACCCTCAGCCTGTTTGCACTGTGAGGAGGGTCCTTTGTAGGTTTTGACTTCAGGAAAGGGGCTAGGTTGGCCCTTTGTGTGTAGTACAGGCTGTTAGGAAGAACAGGCACCCTCATGACTTGTACAGTGTGATCAACAGGCTTAAAGTATCAGAGCAATTCCCATCACCTGAGCTCTTTGCAGGAACATGGATTGCAGTTTTTGGCATCCAGCAGCTGCATTTTTAGGGGGCTTATTAGAATAGCTGTGATCTCTGAGGTTAATGGCATTGTGTTCTCAAGAGTTCCAAATGTACTTTTCCTTAAAACCTCCATTTGAAATGAGCCTTTGGATTTGTTCTCTTATCAAAAGCAAAACATAATGAACAAAAAAGCTAACTGTAAGACAGCAGGATCATCTGGAGAAGCACATCTTCATGTACCTGAGGGTGGAATGAGCCTCCACCTTGTATCTGGCACTATGGCAATGCTGATTTGGCCTGAAACAGCTGCCTGGATGTGAGGGAAGGGTCAAGGTTTGCTCCATTGGTTTCCCTGTCTGGGTGACCACTGTTTATGGTTTGAGCCCAGAGTGATTCCCTGGGGATGTGTGGCAGTGGAACCTGTTGCTCAGCTGGCATCTCCCCAGCTCCAGAAATGGGAGATTTGGCTTTCCCCTTCTCCTTTCTGCTGTTTTGTCTCCCCAGCTGTCTGTGTTGATCTTTAATGCTGTCAGCTCCTGGATCTTTTCTGTTGTGTCTCCTGCTTTTGCCTCTTGGCACTGATCTGCCATCATTCCTGAGAGCTTCTCTGACTTGTTTTTCAGCTCATTAAATATTTCCGTATATCAGAGACAGATGATGCTGAGCTATGTCCTCCTGCTCCTGCTGCATGGCTGCTTATTGGAGCAAACATCAAAAGCAGCCATTTGGACTTTAAAGAAGTGTTTAAACCTCCTACCTTTCTTCATTAATGCTTGCCCTGTATTGTTCTTACCTGTTTCAGAGCTGCCATCCACAGCAGCAGCTATCAGTACTCTTCACTCCTTTAAAACAGAGAGAAATGCCCCAGCACAGCTTTGATGTGTTAAGAGGGAAAATCTTTATGTATTTCACATCTCCTCATCTCAGCATTGTTTTCTGTTATGTAAATGTGGCATATCTGTGTAATGTCAGGGGCTCACTGGTGCTCAGCAGCCATTTGCATAATATTTTCTTTAGGAGCTATGAGATGTGTAATGTTTACCAGTCTTGAAAGTTATATAAACAGGCACAGACAGTCAAAGGTAGAAGAGAATGTGAATAAAATACTGGGAATTTGGAAGGACTGGAAAGTTGGAAGACATTTCAGCACATAAAGACAGGAGAACATTAGCTCCCTTCTTCCTCATATTTTGTCACAAAATTCAATTACAAGGGATGGAACAAAACAGGAAACTCTCTCATTTCTTATGCAGTGGTCCCAATTTCCAATTCACATACAATGGTCCTAATTTGCTGAATGACTTGAAAATTGGGGTAGTATTTAGCCAGTGCTGCAGATTGGGATATATCCCAATCTTCAAGAGTCTTCATAATGTGGTTGCCAGCTATAATTTTACCCACATTCCCCTGAATGTTCTTCAGTTCTGCAACGTGTCCCTGGGGAAATTTGACCCTTTCCATCATTGTTCTGCTTGTGCAAACGCAGATGCCCTCACCTGCCTCGTGCATTCTCTTCCTTCAATCCCCTCTCTGAGCCCTCATGCCAAAGCACCAGAAAGTCTTTTTTATTCTCATTATCTCTTGTTCCATACCTTGCTGGCAGTATTGACCTTGGCTTTTTTTGTTGGCTTGTCTGGATTAGGAAGATAAGTCTTTGAAGACTCCTACCAGTACAACACAGGATAGGTAGCTCCTAAATGTGGGGCTTGAGTTTTAATACTTCTCTGTGCTTCACAATTTGTTTTTTTGCTCTTCTTCAAGTAACTAAGTGCTTTAGTGCTGGTGAGACTCCTAGCAGAGGAAGGTGTGACTCCCAAGAAATGTTTTTGTTGGGATTTGTCACTTCATTACTTTTTTCCAGCATTTGAACTCCAAATTACTCAAAGGAAATACTGGACTTTTTAAAACCCAGTATGGCAAGTCTGCTTTAGGAATGCCACAGTTAGTGATTTCTTGCATTATTGTGGACGTTTTGCTTTGAAAAAGGCAAAAACTTCTTAAATTAAAAAGGTTATGGTCACAGGGGTTTAAAATTTAGGTTTAAGCATTTGCCCTTCAAGGTCCCAACAGAGAAAACATAATACTTAAGGATTCCAAACAAAAAATACACCTTTTTAAGTCTCACTAATATAAGATAGTAAAGGTGATACACAGATAGTTGAAATAAATTCCCAGGCTCTTGATTCTAGCAAAATTTAGACTATGATGGCTGTGTAGAGGCAGGAGCCTCAGTTCCTTTGTGCACATGTCCAGTTCCTGCAGCTTTTCATTTTTTCCCTCTGAGGTGTCTCTGCTCCCAGAGGCAGAAGGACAAATGATTCCCTGTGACTCTGACATCCAGCAGGCTTTGGAAAGCAGCTGCTGGAAGGAGTGGTGGCTGCTCTCCTTCCTCTCCTGCAGATGTAGCTGATCTCCTCCCTGACTTGCTGCCCTTTCTGAGCTGCCTCTGGAACTCCCCTCTGATGATGCTGTCAGGGAGAATGTGCATCTCTGCACCCGTGCAAAGCCTGGCCTCATTTTCCTCCTAAACAGAGAGGTGATGGCCCTCTGCCTCTCACACCTTTTTCTGTACTTTGTTTTGTTTTCTGTGCCTGGAGACAAAAAAAAAAAAAAAATTGTGAATTTGCTCTACTTTTGGAGTCATCCTTTCTCGTGAGAATATGACCTTCAAAATCCTCAGGACACATTTGCAAACACAAGGGCTGCACTTAGAGAGCAAAACAAGGTATTGGGGGTCTTCAGGTTTCAGAGTCCTACCTTTTGACCATATTCAAATGTCTGCTCTTATAACATGTGCTTGTTTGGCTTTTTATTTTCAGCTCCTGAAGTGCTGGCCCAGAAGCCCTACAGCAAAGCTGTGGACTGCTGGTCCATCGGGGTCATTGCCTACATCCTGTGAGTACCTCTTGAGTTTCCAGTGCTGGCACCTTTGGGATCTGCTGTCCCACCATGGAGTCACCTGCTTAGCCTGGGCCAAAATAACGAATCCCTGACATTTGTGACACAGGGTAGCATGTACCCTGGACACCTCCCAGTTGCATAAAGGCTGAAATTTGAGCAAAAGTGGTAGGAAATGGACTAGTACCCTTCAATTTTTAAAATCCTTGGTCCCACCAGAATTACACTGTGTGCAGTAATGTGGGCTTGTCCAGGCTGTGACATTATTGAAGTTATTGTTCTCCCCTGCTCAGATTGGCTTTGAGAAGAAACAAACCTGGCTGTGTCCACTGAGCTGCCACAGAAACAAATGTCTTTTCCAGCATTACCACTGCTTTATTATTTTTACTTTTCCCTTTTACACAACTGCCACAACTGTTATGCAAGACTGAAAGAAAAAGCAGCTCCAATGAGGTACATCATTAAAGCATTCCTACTTTGTTCCCTTTTTCCTTATGTAGACATTTCATGGCTTGTCATCATGAATAACTTTTTGATGGTGCTGTAGAATGATTTTTGCCAGGACATACCTCATTGCTGTGCTATCCACTCTGTGCAATGTTCATTCTTTACATTTGCATTACATTTGCATAATTTATATGCCACCCAAAACAGGAAGGTTTTATATTAAATAGTATAGGAAGGTGGCTTTGTTTATTGCATGTGTGTTTGTTTATTTATTTAAACCAAAATCCTTCTGAAAACATTCCTTTTATGACTGTCTATTTTGAAAACTTGTTGACTACAAAACTTACATGGTAATGGATTTCTCTTGGAGCAGCCATCAATAGCAGGATACAAAAAGATTTTGCTAAACAAAGCAAAAATCAACAGCGCTGATTCTGACTTTGGTTCAAAGTCCACTGGGACCTACTACAGCAGTGAGGAAGAGCACAGAGATGCAAAATACCTTGAAGGCTGCTTTGCAAACCATCCCTTAGTGCTCATTTAGATGAGGATGGTGTGTGCTGACTCAAAACTATCTTTTTTCACAAGCAAATCTGATCATGAAAGTCCTAAGGGTCGGGATTGTTGACGCTGTTAGCCCTTGCCAGCCATGGCAGGACACAGCTGGAGTATTTTCTGATGCTCTTTTAGAACTTAGCAGAGTACCAGTTTCAGAGAGTGGGAAAAGGAAGAGGCAGGTGGGAGATAGCACTACTCTGCCTTACATCCAGGCTCAGCTGCTGTCTGTGTTCAGTTTATTGCCAAATATCCACCATGAAAATATGATATATGAGAATATGTGTCCATCTGTCAGCCCATGGGAGGGCTGTGAACTGTTGCATGTGGCTGCCTGGAGATAAACCTGGCTCTGCCTTCCTCCAGGTTGTCAGTCCCATGTGTCAATGGCTCATGCACCAAAAGTCTTTGTGCTGGCTGACCTGTGGTCTTATTCCACTTTTTGTTTTCATGGGTCTTGCTGGGGAATAGGGGTGAGACAGTGCTAAGCAAAGTGTCCTCCACACCCAATTTATAAACACTTCTTCAACAGGTGGAAGATTTTAATCTCCTCCATAATCTTTCCCCCTTTCTAAGCAAGGCTGCTCTTTCTGCAAGGTTTAGCTCTGTTTCCTGCTCTGTTTTCCAAATCAGCATGTGCTCAGCTTGTCAGGCAAGGCATGCACACTCCTCAAATTTAAATTCCCTGTTTGCTATACAGGGAATTCCCAGCCCAGAAGGCTTAAATCATCTCAGTAAGAATGAGCCTCTATGAATTCCTGTTTGCAGGACAAGGAAACCTTTTCAGAGTTTCTGTGCTTCAGGTAATAAGGTCTTGATTTGTATTTTGTACAGCCCAAATATGTGGCAATAACTCATTGCTGTAGAAGGAGGCTGTTAACGTCTTTGCCAGATTGTTACAGCTTGGGTGGGATTGGGTCTGAGACCAAACCAGCTCTTTGAATCTGTAAGCCACATCCTTCAGCTCCTGTGGCAGTCAGCAGCACTCCTGGGCTCCCTTTGGTTAGCCCCCCACAGCCCATGGCATCGGGGGCCCCGTGCACTTCAGAGTCACTGGGCATCTCAACCCAGCCTGAGTGGATGCAAGCAGCCATTTCACCAGGGTGGGCTGTTCAGTTGCCTAAACTTGCACATTTACTACCATGCTGGGGGGTCCAGGGCAGCCACATGGATTTGGAAAATGTAACACATTGCAGAGACCTTCCATCTGGAGAGGCAGATGCATCCAAGCCCCAGACCATGGACCATGTGAAATAGCACCAGATGCTCATGCTGGGGTGACTGGATTGCACCCTGCTCCCTGCTCAGAGCCCTGCTTCCACAGCGTGGATTCATCTGCTTTGTGGTACATTTACATCACTCTCCAGCCTCCCTTGACCCCATCTCTGCTGAGTGCAATGTGATCTTAGAAGCCCAACCCACATCTCACGTGTTCTAATTTGGTCTGGATGTCATCCTTGCTTCCAGGAACAGCCAGAAGTTGCAGATGTCTTAAGAAAGTGAATGTCTGGAGTACAGTAAAAAGAGAGGGAGGAGGAGGGTCCTTCCCTACACTCGGGGGAATTACCCCTGGTGGGATGTCTGATACTGCCAGCGATGGGCACGGGTTTAACACGTAGGTTTGTGGCCTCAGCAGTGCCAGCGGGGGCTCCCAGTGTGACATGGCACTGAGATGCCACAAGGACCAGCAGCTCAAGGACCTGGTGAAATGCTGGCAGTTAAACCTGCCCTGAGCAGGAGTTATTAGCTCCAATTTGTAGCTGCACCCATTCGGATATCCATTTCCAGCTCCACAATCAGCACAGCTGGAGCTACTTGCACATGCCTGAACCAGCTGGAGATGCATTTTGCATATGGCAGCCCAAGCACAACGTCCTGCTTCATCTCCTCACCTCTCCCACAGATCCTCACTGCCACTCTGGACAGACTGTTGTCGTTTAAGAAGATGGAAACTCAAGGGAAAACAGCACAGAAGTCAAGCATAAATTAAAGATGCTTTGAGTTAATATTTCTGCAAGTGGTTTGAGTGCCTCCAGACTCAAGCTCAGTCTCACTTGAGAGCCCTCAGTTTATGACACTGGAAGAACAAACTGTTTCTGTGGCACCAATGCTGTAGAGAAATATTTGTTTCCGTGATATGCAAGGATGTCTTGGGAAAGAACAATTCTGTTTCAGTGCCAGTCTCTAATGCTTCTCCTTAATGACAGCCAGATTGCAGAGGCCCCACCAGTGGAGTTTTTATCAAAACCTGTTTTGCATGAGAAGTCATTATTCACAAAAACTAATTTTAGAGCCTGAAATTTCCTGTTATTCCAGTTACAGTATTTCTCAATTTGAAACAGCCTCACTGTTGAGCTCGGCCTTCCACTTATCACAAAGTAGTTTTGATAATGTGTCCAGCTTTAAAATATAAAGCATAAGAAGAGCAAGAGACTTCACTGGATTCCCAGCAGCTGGATTTGGGGCCTTTCTGGGTCAGATAAAGGATTATAAAAGCTTGGGGAACTAAAATACTGATCATATGCATACCTTATCTAGAGAAGATTAGGTTAATTTATGCAAAAAATAGAAAATCATGTTTTGAAGCTGGAAAATAACCTGGGGGCACAAAATGCTCTGCCTCAGCTCGTGGTTATTCATAGTCATCTGCAATAGGTCAAACACATTTTGTCTTGAATTTTCTTCTGTTTCCATTCACTGTTTGGACAGTGAGTTACTGGTTTGTTATTGTTTATAAACAATTACCTGTCTAGAGATAAATCCTGCATTGTACTTTCACACTTTGCTGCTGAGCTGCTTTTGATTTTCAAGTAGATGTGCATGAATCATCAGTGATGTTTGTATGGAAGGATTACCCAGGGACAGTGCAAAGTATATTATGCCAAAAGAAGTTTCCACCATCACCCTAGGAGTCATCCATTGGGAAAAAGTGGTCAGTCATCTTTCCTGCTTTGCATGACACACAAGCCTAAGCAAAAAATGAGGAATAACTTACTTGTTCAGGACTGGAAGGAGAAACAGTGGTGGCAGAGGACACAGGCATTTTGGGTTGCTCAGGAAAACTCAGCTAACATTGGGAAAACAGCCCTAAATGATTGTTGCTTGCTTCTTAATTTGTCTGTGATTCCCTATGCTGATATGCCCTTGTCCACAGCTTTGTGGGGACACCAGTGTCAGCCAATATGAGGGACTGTTCCCAAAATATACAGAGGAAATACATGTCTTTATCCCTATAAATAGCACTTGGATGACTTCCCACACCATACATCTCAGGTCTTTGAGCAGTTACTGAATTCTTTGTTCTAATCTAACTGTAAAATTGTTTGTAAAACTAACCCTGGGGCCTCTTGTGTTACAGACTGGACACTGACAATGTGAATGAGTTATTTAGCCTTTAGTATCCCCCCCAATATGTAATGGGATCTTGCAGGGGTTTGCTTTCTCTGCCTGGTGAAGACAAGATGTTCCTGCTATTCCTCTTGTGCTCTCAGGAATCACTTTTAGAAATGACTTCTGGCAATATCTTTCTCTTGTACATCCACCTGTGTTTTTCTTATCTGCATCTCATTGTTTCTAAGGCAAGACTGGGAATAGGAGTTTAGGGGAAAATCTGTTGCTTATGTGATAAGGTTGCTAAATAATTCTGAAAACCTTTTATTTGGTGAAACTGCAAGAAAATGATGACAACTAATAGCTGCCTGAAACTCCCCCAGGACAGTGCAGGATTTTTTCACATCGAAGACAGAGGGGTTATTTTTGCATTTCTGCATATCTGAAGAAAAGCAGCAGAACCTCTGATAGTGAGGTCATTTTATTCACACAGAAATGTCCTACCAGATGGAAATGAAGTCAGTGGGATGTTGATTTTGTAAGAATTAACCAAAAAACCCATTATGGACTTTGGAAAGTGGCCCAGTTGCTGGAAGTCCAGCAAGATTTCCTCCAGCCATAAACTGCAAGATAGGCTGATTTGCTGGGGCTTTCCCATCCCTTCTGCAAAGACAACAATGTTAAACCTTAAGTAACATTAAAACTTCCATGTCTTCCTAAGCTCTGTTTTTAAGGGAAAGGACAGAAAGGCTGTACATAAAATACCTGTATTTTGGCTCTCATCCCTGTGCCAGGATGCCCCAATGTTCCCTTCCCACATACCACCTCTTCTGACCTACAGGGCTTGCTCCTTCCTCACCTTTCTGGTTTAATCCTCATTGATTTGCCTCCCAGAGGAACATCCTTGCATCCCCCTTTGTAGGATGTTTATCCCATGCTTGGCCAAGCCAGGATCAGCCCTTGCCCTGGGCTCACTCAGCTCTCAGGTGAGGGCTGATTTGGGGGGAATCTCCCTGCCCATGACCTGTAGTAGCAACTAACACTTCTCAGCTTCTTCCTAGAAGGAAAAAGCTGTGCCAGAAGAGGCTATTTTCTGCCCTGTGCCCAGCTCCTGGCAGTTCTGGTGCCCTCCTGCACCACCCTGCCTCTCCTTGTGCATCAGCAGGGGCTGCAGTGACCTCCTGGACACAGAGGCTGATTCCCCAGATGTGTAAATACTCCAGGCATGCAGAGGAGCTGGACTGAAAGGCTCTGGGGTTCTTGCTGAGCCTCATGTCTCTGTGCTCCCCCTTGCTGCCCTCCAGCTCTGTGCTGCTGAGCAGTTTGCTCCTACCTTTTGCTGCCACAATTGTGTATAAATCACAGCAGTCCCAACTTGTGCTCTTGTACCTTTGCCAAGGTAATTAGTACAGTGCACATTTGAAGAGAGTTATTTCTCTCTCCAGAGCAGCCTGCCAGTGCCTCAGCATGCACAACACTGTCTGCTCGCCTTAAAATGCTTTATTGGAGCACTTTGGGTTTGTCTAAGGAAAATGCTGAGGAAGGCAAGAAATTAATGAAGGGCTGTCAGGCTTCTTAAGTGCAGCCCCCTGAGTCTCACAGGGAGGAGGGGACAAAGCAATGGCTTTAAGTGTTTGGGTTTTTTTATATTTTTTGGATATTTTAATTTTCTTTTTTTCTTTTTTCTTTTTTCTTTTTTCTTTTTTTCTTTTTTTTTTTTTTTTTCTTTTTTCTTTTTTCTTTTTTCTTTTTTTCTTTTTTCTTTTTTCTTTTTTCTTTTTTTTTCTTTTTTCTTTTTTCTTTGTTTTTTTTCTTTTTATTTTCTTCTTTTTTCTTTCTTCTTTTTTTTTTTCTTTTTTCTTTTTCTCCAACCTGGGCGTCTCTACCCCAGTGCTCATCCCACCATTTGCAGTGCTGGTGTTGTCAGCTCCATCATTTCCCCTCAGTAAAGCACCCAAAGTCTTGAGGGTTGTGACAAAAGAGGAGGAAGGAGAAAATCAATTTTGAATGCACACAAATCAGGAGTTCATGTGCATCCCACCCCAAGACTATGGGATATGAGAACTAATAGTTATTACACTAAAAGAAGTAATTTATAAGTTCTTCACAGGTACCAGTAGAGCTGGACACTGATTGTGGATCCAGTTTCTTCATTAAGCTACCAGATGTTTTCCTCTGTTGTCTGTGTACATAGTGGCTTTTTGGCATTTGCTTAAATTCAGCATTTTTAGGGACCCTTCTCATACACCACCTGCACCACAGGGTTTCCAACAGGAGCACCCAGCCCCACACACAAGCACGTGCACATCAAGTAGGTGCACAGTCCTGCTCTGGACACACAGGCTTGTCTGGCATGAGATTATCTCAGGGGTTTGATAACAGCAGTCAGCCAGTGGGACACAAATGAGGACTGGCTCATCTGCTCTCTGAGATAAAGAGAGATTTCTGGTCCAGCTGAACCACAGCAGGTTCATAATCATGCTGCAAATTTCAGTAGAGTTCTCCTGGGTCAGTGTGGATGTGATGCAGATCAACATCTCAATATTTAAATTATTTATCAAGCACACTGGCTCTTCAGAGCTAACAAAAACATTGCCCCTTTCACCCTCAAGTGTTGAGTTGGTTCAAATAACCTCCAGGGCAGCCGGCTGGCTTTGGGTTATAAATAACTCAAGTATTTCATTTCTTGCAATTTCCCCCCTGCCCTTACTCTGCTGCTGTTTCTCAGCTAGATCTACAGTCTGTTTGTAATGGCTGGCTCTCTCAATTCTCCAATTAAATCCTGTATTGAGGTTGATTGACTCAGAGTTTAAAAAAAAATTAGGACAACATCATTTCAATACCAGCAAAGTATGGGAAAGAATGATTTAGACCACAAACCAGTGATAAGAGATAAAAAATGTATAATCTCTACACAGAGGCAGGAAGGGCTGTTTAGCTGTGAGCAGGATGGGTTTGCTGACACCTTGGGCCAGCCTCAGAGGTAAATGTGGCACTTTGCAACATTGGTGTTAAAACTTGAAGAAGCGTTGTCTGTGCTGGCATGTCTGTGCAGAATGGGACAGAATACTGCCTGCAGCACCAGCTGGGTGTGAGGGATCTCTGACACACGAGTTTTAATGCAGTGCTAGATGTGCTTTCCCACATCCAGCCCTGCCTCAGCATCGTGGATGTCCTGCTCTGCAGCACTGGGAGGGTGCACCCTGAATGTATGAGCTCAAACTAGGCAAATAATGTTCACTGTCCTGCTTGTCCTGGGCTAGGTTTTCTGAGAAGTCTGACTATAAACACTGAAAACCAGGACAGGATGGTGCTGGCCTCAGGCAAGGCAGGCAATTGGATGTGGTCAGCAAAATCTCTTGCAGGAGTGAGAAAGGGAGAGGCTCTCCTGTGTCTGCAGCAGCAGCAGGTCCATGTGCAGCCTGTGCAAGCTCTGCTGCAGAGGTGCATGGGCTCCTGGGCATCCTCCTCACTGTGCCTAGGGACACAGAGCCCAGCACATCCTGCAGATGCATTTTGCCCTCTGCCTGAAAGCTCTGCAGGGCTCCTTGTCCTGCTTTGCACCAGGTCTTCTGGATGTGCTGAGGGATTAGAGGCACTGATGCTCTGTGGATGTAGGGTTTAGCTCATGAAATCTCCTCTTAGCACTTGTACAGGAGAGGATGACAGGGGTCAGAATTCCACTTCGTCCAGGGCAGTGCCAATCTTCAGAAGTGGCTTTACATGTCCCTGAAGAAACTTCTCTCATGGTAGCACTTGGGTTCTTGAAAACGTACTGGGGGCAAGCCTTAAGTGAGCGTTTCTCCTCCTTCTCCCTCCCTCCTTCTTACCTTCTGGACAGACATGGGACCAGTGGTCACCTCTCTCTCTTTTCCTGTTCTCCATCAGGCTCTGTGGATATCCCCCTTTCTATGATGAAAACGACTCCAAACTCTTTGAACAGATCCTTAAGGCAGAATATGAGTTTGACTCTCCATACTGGGACGACATCTCCGAGTCTGGTAAGTAGCTGCTGCTCTTTAAATTGCAACAGCCATGCATGCATCTGTGTCTATTGCATGCATCCCCCTCTGGACATGAAAATGCACCCTCCATAATGTGCAGAGATCCTTTTAACTGGACACCAGTGGGAATGTGCATTTCTTTTGGCTCAAATAGTCATGGGAGCTTGTTTCTGCAGGAGACAATTTGGGTCTGTCAGTCACACAAAAAGCACTAAAACATAGCTCAAACAGCAGATAAAAATGGCAGAAGACTGTCCCAAAAAGAAAAAGCAGCTTAATTTCTTCATTGTGTCTGAATGAAAAGCAGATTGTTAATGTGTCATTAGTAATAAGGTGGCAAATGAGTTTGGCTCCAAAGCAAGTCCTCAGTCAGTGCAGCAAAAAAGCAAGAAATTAATGGCTTTCAAATGAGGCAGGTAAGCAGTTCCAGAAACTGGAAGGACTGTCCATGTGGGTGGATGTTCCCCACCCAGTGCAGGAGATGTTTAACCCACAGTACCCACCTGTCCCTGCTCCAGTCAGCCTGGCAGAGGGGCAGATACCCCAAATGTGTTACAGGCATATGTTCCTAAGGGCTTCTGGCTCCAGTATGAGTCTGTGCCTAGGGGTGACAGCAGGGGACATGCAGCACTGCACAGGCACGTGTCCCTGACACACTGTTTAGTCTCCAAGAGGTCACCCAAGATCAGTGTCCTTGCTCTGTCCAACCCAGGGAAACATCTGCAAATTCATGCAGAAGAAGAAATAAATTCTAGGAATATTCCATCATGTAAAAATATCTCTATAAATACAGTTTTCTGATTTATTAGTGCTACTGATTGAGGCAGGGGAGATAAAAATTGAGTGTTTTTATTATAAAGATGATTATATATTCTCTTATCTCCACACAGAGCAACATTTTATGCTGCTTACATCTTCAGTCCAGATATCATTATGATGGATTGCTCAAAAATATATGTGATGAGAAGTTTTTTTTAAACTAATAAGGATTTTTAGAGAAAATATGAAGGTCTGTTGGCAGACCCTTCTGCCTTGTGGGGGAAAGTCCATCACCTAAATCAGCACAAAGATTTTCCTGCCATATTTGGCTTTGCTGTGGCTCCTTCAGCTGCACTGTCCTGAAACTGCTGGATGCACGCCACGCTGCAGTCCCCGTTCCTTCCATTATAATGTCGATTAAAAACACACTGCCTCCTGCTCCAGGGAGTCCATTTTCCTTGCTGAATTCCTCTTGAGCAGGAAACATGTCCTCACAGCTGTCCATGTGTGTGACTGCTTGGAATGAGCAATGTGAAGCTCCTCTTACTGTGACACTCACCTCCTCCCTCTCCACTCAGCTGACCAGCACAGCCAGGGCGTGTGGCCACATTCTGACCACTAAGATGATGCAGCACGTGGCTGACCAGGGACCCCAGGGCTGGCAGAGATAGACTCTGCTGGCTCTAAATATATCCCACTCCTAAATATACCTGCAGGAGAAGATGCCTTCAGCTTTTCTCTGGTACACTAAATAGGTTGGATTTGGTCCTAAGTCACTTCGGTTCTATCTATACTAATAAATGACAAATGACCCAGGGCTGTTTTCTTGTGCTGTGGGCAGATGGCCATTGGTAGCCTGATCAAGTGCTGTTGAATATGGCATCAACTCTATTGCTTTCAATCATTTCCTCCTTTTTTTTTTTTTTTGCAGCTAAAGACTTCATTCGGAATTTGATGGAGAAGGACCCTAATAAAAGATACACCTGTGAGCAAGCAGCACGGCACCCTTGGTAAGTAGCACTCAGTGCTCTGAGAAACCCTCAGGACACAGAGAACCTTTTTACATTCCTGCATGGAAATGATTTTTCTGTCACATGTTGTATCTCTACCACATAACCTTTGTGCCTTCACTGCATAACTCTGTGTTTTTATTCTTACAATCCCTGCCTTTGTCCTCCAGATTTTCCTGGAAAACTGCAATGGACTTTAATCTCATGCACCAACCTGTGTAAGGATTAGTAAAATGCTATTTTAATTATGTATGTTGACTGTAGTGCAGCAGTGGGATGTGACACAATTATTAAAGTGCTTTGAGTTGAATGGTGCCTTTGCATATGAGTGACTTCATCAACATTCCCAGGGTTTGTGTAGCTGGAGCAAGGGTGACTCATGTATTTTTGACCAGCCCTGACTGAGAGCATCATCCCACACTACCAGCTGCATCCACACGTGGGCTCTGGATCTAACTCCTTTAGGTTAGGGGACATTATATAAGCAAGGTGAAGTTTCATTTTTGATGTTACAATAACTGCAACAGGAAAGAGTTAATGGCATGACATTTTCACCCCAGGTGTGCATTCCACTCTGTTTTTATACTATCACAATTGCCCCAAATGCCACTTCCCTTTTGCATTGTCTGTGTGACAAAAAGGAAATTTGAGACATGAAATCCCACTTTTGAAAGATGAAAAAAAATCCAAAACTGGTTCTAAATGATAGTGACCTGAGCCTCAGGAAATTAAACAAGTCAGTATTAGGAATACAGAATAAACAATGAGAATGCAGCTCCCAGCAGGGAGTGAGGTGACCATTTGTACAACTCAGAGACAGATTTTCCAAAGCCTTACATCCAAGATACACAAAATGTAAGCATCCAGCTTCTGGCCCTGCTACATCTGTGTTGGTGGCTGGAGTGCAACAAAGAAACGTGGCACTTGTAACACACACAGCTTCTGGGCCCTCTGAAAGGAACAAAATGATAAAAAGTGTTTTCATTCCTTTTTTTGTGTGGTTTTGTTTTTTTCTTTTGCATGTCATGGCCAAGGGCCAATGGAAACTCACAGACTGCTACATAATTCATACTATTTTCCACAGAATCTAATCTTTCACTTAAAAACAACACCCCAAAAAAGGTTTTCCCCCATTTCTGTGGCAGGGGGTCTTCTTCTGCCAGGCTGACTTTGCCATCCAGTGGTTCATTTTCAAGACTTCAGGTTCTGACATGGCTCCCTTTGAAACGTCAGACATGTAAATGGCACAGCGGAAGGGAGGCTGAAAATATTCACCATGTTGGCATGCAGACCCTGAATCCACCTCCCTTTGACACAACAACAACACATGCCAGGGGGTTACAGGACAAAAAGCAAAAGCATGGAGGTTTCCAAAGCTATGGCTTCAGACCTGCCCCTGTCCTCCCCAGTGTGCTCATGAACAACTCCCATGTCTCATTCCCCCTTGCTCTGAAGAGCTTCTTGTAACATGGACACTGCAGTTATGGACCTCTCTGCAAAGGTGTGCAGTGATTTTTTTTTTTTTTAATTTTTTTTTTTCTTTTTGAGGGTTTGGATTCTGTAGTGATAAATTACTTTTTGGGTAACCATGGCTGCTCACCCAGATGTTATTTTGGAGTTAGTGATAAGATCTCCTTTTGCCAAAGCATCGCTCAAGGAGCATTTTCCACCCAGATTCCTTATGTCAGGAAATAGTGAGGGTTTTACTGTTTCTTTTCTCATTCTAGCCATTACATCTGTAGCAGTGGCATCCTTTCCTTCTCCTCGAAGGGAGGGAAGGCTTTTTCAGGGGAGGAGGAAAGAGTTCTGTGCTTTGTCTCAGTGGTCAGCTGTGTCCTTCTCTCAACCTGGGCATATTTAAGTTTCCAGCAGCTGCAGGCCTGAGTTCCTCTCCCTCATGGTTGCATTCAGTGTTGCAGCAGCTGGAGACAGGGGTGCACATGTGCAGCCGGCAGAGAGGGGCTACCACAGCTTTTGTATCATCCCACACCCCCTTTTCAGTGAACATGGATTTCTCAGCACACATCCCCCCTGGCTACCTCACCTTCCACAGTGCCAGGAGAGATATTTGTGTGTTATCAGCACAGAGGTACCTAAAGCTGTTGGCTTAGTGGGAAGGAAGAGATGATCAGAGCAGGCTGAAGTGGTCCCATAAATTATATGCTTTTGCAGAGTGCTTGCACTGCAAGCAGCCCTTGGTGGCATCTCATAAAAGGTATTTTTTCTTGTCTGCACAAGCAACATAAGTGGAGAAGCATCTTTGAACCCTAGAGCGCTCATGAAGTGAAATTCTGATTCCACTGAGGCTAATGGGAGTTTTGCCAGACTTCAGTGAGAGTTGGGGTTTGTCTCCCTGTTTGATCAGCAGAACACAGGCCGCCCTGGGTCACTGTTGCTGTGCAAATGGTAGATAATCACATATATATATGGTGAGGTGGCTCCATGTAGTAACATTTTCCAGTTTTCCCTTTTTCTTCCTCCTGTGAAGCCTTCCTGTGCAGTATCAGATCATTGAGATGCTCCCAAATTAGAAAGAAATCTATCAAATTATGAAAAATTAGCGCATTTTGTATAATCTGATTGTGCTAAAAGTAGTTAACTTTGCATGACATGGCTATCTTGCCATGAGATTTAGTTGTTTCAATATGTAGTATTTGTGAAGAACAAATTGATTCTAAAACACACCTTTTATTTTAATCACTGTGTTTTCATTAAAACCTTCCAAACAGGGCTTGCAAGAACTGGATCTTGCAAGATACTCCATTTGTGCCTTTAAGGTTAATAATATCTTTGAATTTTGGGAAACTGCTCCAGAATAGACAGCTATTTGCATGACTAAATGTTTGCACAGGATCAGACCCTAAAAAATGTCAATACTTCTTCCCAATGGCCCACTTTTCTGCAGTGTATCTGCTTGCCACATGCCTGCATTTACGTGATGTCTTGCTATTTATAATCAAATAGCCCTGGTAGGGGGATGGTGTGTTAAACTCAGAGCTGGCAGAAAAGGAGGCTAATAATTGCAGTGAAGTATGATAGCAGAAAGGGTACAAAATGTGAGACTTGTTGGTATAATGACTCCACCCCTGCGTGTCCATTTATACAGATTTCTCCAGTTTAATATACAGGTGACTTATGCTTTCCACTGGAAAAGTTATTTGTTTTATAATGTATCTTTCAGTGAGGTTTGCACTGTTTATGGGGTGTTGCAAAGGTGCAATGTTCTGCTTAGCTTTTCCCACTGTGACTTTTCAGACAGGACATGGAAAATGAAGGTAACAAAAGAATGGGGTGATTTTGCTGCAGCTTGATACATTTTAATGTTTCCCTGGCTCATATTAAAGACAGCAATTAAGTTTATTAAATATATTGCCATGTCAGAGCCCACATCCTGTGGCTCAGTCTGGAGTGGTTAAGGGGGAGCTGCAGAAACCTGAGGACCTGTTTATTCCAGCTGTAGACTCATAGGAACATAGAATATCCTGAGGTGGAAGGGACCTACAAGGATTATCGAAGTGTGCTCCCCATCAGGTCAAACTAAGTCCTTCAGAGCCAAATTCAACCTCCAGGCTCGGATCAGAGGGAAAGAAAACAATGCTCAGAGGGTGAGGACAAAGTCCAGCAGTTAGGAAGCTAAAACAGAAGTTAGAAGGGCTGCCATGAATTTATTTACTCCGTCATGCATTAACCAAGTGAATTTAAATGGGATTTAAAGCTGTGCACTGAAGGCACTTACGGCATCAAAGGCAATTTGGGACATCTAAATTAAAGGATGATGGATTAATTGCCTTTATATAGAGATTGTAAATACATGGGCTGTAGAAGGGAGAAGGAGCTTGTGGCACCAGTTAGACCCCAGTGTCTGCAGGTGGGAGTGTGGTCCTGGCCTTTCCCCACTGCTTGTGCAAAGGGAGAGAGGATCCATGGGATGGGCCCAGCCACGCCTGCACTGAGGAATCACAAAGCTCTGGCAAGGACTGAGCCTCTGCACATTGTGACCATGACCCCAAGTGTTTATTATGTGCCAGAGAGCACAAGCCAGATAATAATTTCCACCCAGGGAAAGGACATGATTTACAAAGAGCTTAGTTCTCAGACAATATTGTCTGAAGTGTGAAAAGGCCTTCCTGAAGGGAATTGCTGATGTTTACAACATTAAATCAAACTCTTATCGAGTTCATCCCCACACTCTATTTCTTTTGGAACACCACTGATACAGTGTGTGTGTATTTATATACATGCATGGATGTGTGTGAGCATACATATAGAAGAGTTATGATCCCTCAGCATTATCCATTACAGCTAACTCCATGTTTCCTGTCATCATACTCAGAAGTATTTCCAAGCACTTTTTGGCCAGCATACCATTTAAATTGGCTGCCTTCAGGAGGAAGGTTCAGAAAATAGTGGTAGATGAAAGGCTCTGCATGCATTTGTGGGCAGGGAGGATTAGAGAGACATTTGCTTGTAGCCTGTTAATGAAGAACTGTCCAAAAGGAAATTTGCTGGTTTTGTCTTTGTTGGAGGTTTCTCTCAAAGCTTAGAAGTTGTATGGCCAGATAAATTGGTGTGATAAGTTTGAAGTCAGCTAGAGAGCGAAAATAATTAAATACTATGAAATAATATTTGATCATTAGAATAGAGTCCTCTCATGTGCAGAATTAGATTTTTGTTATGGTTATTCATGAGAAATACTCTTCTTAGCTTCAGTGGATGTGTTTGGGATGGGGAGCCATTATTCTTGGTCTCTTGGTATCCAATTCTGTGCATTGAGACAGTTACATATTTACAACTGGATGTAAAACCAGCTTCAACATGAAGCTCCCCAAAGCATTGTTGAGATGCAGCTGCTTTCAGGTGCTGCAAAAATGGGAATGCTGATAGAAAATCCAGGTCTCACTTAGACTAATCAGCCCTTGCTTGGTTCTGGGTGATTCTCAGCGGGGTAACAGAGGATGCACTATTCTGATTTGTTTAATTTTATTTTTGTGTATGTGTGTGGTAGGTAGAAGCAATGTCTTTTATTGGGCCAAGTAGAACAGTTGGTATAAAAAAAAAAAAAATTCAGAGCTGACATAGTTAATTTTAAAGTTAACTACAAAGCCAGAAACTATTGTTCAGGACTAGATAACCATCAGTCTGATTAGCTCAAGTTGATTGCAGTTTCTCAGTGAAAATGGAGCTGATTTCTAGAGGCAAAGTATATGTTATGCTAGAGAGGGAGGGAGAAAGAAAGAAAAAAAGAAAGATACTAAGGTATTTTTGTCCTAAAAGGAAAAACGACATAGTTTATAAGCTGTGGACTTGAAGAATTAGGAAAATGTGGAAGGGAAATCATAAGTGCACTAAAACCAGTATCTATTAATTTCATTCTTTCTCTTCTCAGTAAGGGAACTAAAGTTCATTATTAAATACATTTGATATAGATGTGAGGATGCTCATGATAGCCACCATAGAGTAGATCTGTGTGCCCAAAGAATATCTCATTTTCCATATCTACCAGCTGAGAATACAAAACATGTGACTTCTCCCTGCTCACCTCCACCTCTTTGTGTCCTGAAACCCCCACATCTCCAGCAAAGCACCAACAGCGAAGGGATGATAACATTGCTCTAGTTTTCCTAGAAGTAAAACTGTATTATAAACACTATAATACCACGAGTATTTCATAAAAGTTACAAAACCCTCCAAGTGCAAAATACAGCCTGAAAGCACAGTGCTCATGTTACAGCATCCCAGGATTAACAGGGTAGTTCTTCAAAGGCGTCTTGGAGAACAATCCCACTCCCAGCTTTGGCAGCTGAGGCTGCATTCTGAGCCACACCATTCAGCATAGCAGCACATGTTTGAACAGCTCCTGCTGCACTAAATTAGCCCCAGCAGTGCTGTTATTTTGCTCTGCTTAGAAACTATCATCTGCAAGGTGCTAATGTTGCGGAAGAGACCTAAGATGTAGGATGGTTCCACTGCTGTAGCATCTGAGGGCTTCACAGGATGTCTCTCCATCCCCTTGTGAAGTAAACAAATATTCTTCTGCCTATCTGGAAAAAACCCAAATACCAAGACTTTTTTCCTGGAATTACAAGAATTGCATAGTGAACATAGAGTTAGGGGTGGTAGAAGGCAGTTTATGAACTATTGGAACAAGCAGTTTCTTATTGAAACCACCAGCATTGCAGAAAATTCTCCCTAAACTAAAAATAATAATAATAATAATACAAAAATAGTCTTTATTGGAGCTACACACCCAATCAAAAGTTTCATATTACAAAAATGTATTTTCAAATCCTTGTGGAAACTGGCAAGAACAATCTTCTGGAAGAGCTTGCAAGGGCATCATGCCTCAAGAACTTGTTCTATTAGTGTTTCCAAAATAAGATTTGACAGGTGGACAACAGGATCTGTTCTTACAGAGTTTGTTAACCAACTTGTTTGTAAAGCAAAATGCGTCATAAGCTTTGGTGGAAAAATGTGTTTTGCAAGTGCAAGTGAATTTTCTGTCTTGGTCTCTTTGATCAGTTACTGAAGGGATGGTTTGGCATGTAGTTTCTTCTGTGATCTGTAGTGTGACAGCCAATACTCCCAGCTGGTGTGTGCTGAGGGCACCTGCCTTCACCAAGGAGGTGTTCTTGGACAGAGCAGAGTGCTCATGATGTTTTGGAGTGACTCTAACTAGTCATGCAGTTTACACTCCCACCAGGAAACTGCTAGGACCTGCCTGGGAGTATGGACTGCTTGGGATCCATCAGGATCTGTGCTGAGCCTGGCAGTATTCACTGTGCAGGACAGAGGATGGAACAGTGAATATGATAAACCAGGTAGTGCCTCACAAAAACTTTGGTCACCTGGCCCCAGTGGGAAATCTGGGAAATCCGACTTGCCTTGGTGTCAGTGGGAAAGGTGATCAGAAGGAATCATCTTCAAAGCAAGATCTGAAGATCATCCAGTTTTCAGCCAAACACGTCCCTTTCTCTATCAACAGCACAGGGAGCCAAGAGAAGAAGTCAGGTGTCATTGAGGAGCTGTGCTTTGCCCAGCTCTTCTGTCTGCTCGAGGCAGAGGCTCCATGGCAGTGGCAGTGGGACAGGGCCCTTCCCAGCTGGGTGAGCCCTGCGCCTTCCTGCCCTCAATCCCACTGCCTCCAGCACTCCTGAATAACCCAATGGAGACAGCTCAGCTCCAGCAGGATGGGCTTGGTGTGTCTCCACTCTTGGGACATGAGGATTTAGTCCTTCCTCCCAAGGGTAAGTCATTCCTCTCATCTCTCTCATGAAGATCCTGGGAGATTGTTGTCAGCTAGAAGGTGGGCAGCGATTTGGAGAAGGCTGGTCTCAGCACTTCTTAGATGCCAAGGAAATGAAGGCAGGAAAAGCAGCATGTCCTTAGAAGAAGTTTGGAATTATCTGGGTAAAGTGAAAGGGATGTCTCCAATGCACGGGACACATAAATGGAAGCAGCAGGCTGGGGTATGTAAGCAGAGATTTTTCTTTTAAAAGCACAAAGCAATGCTGCCATTCTGCTGCCTTAGTTGGAAAACAGAGAAAGTTTGGGTGCCACCCTCAAAGGAAAATGTGGACTAGTTGGAGAAAGTCCAGAGGAGCTCACTAGATCAGAGGATTAGAAAACATGAGTTATGAAGAAACAGTGAAAGAATCAGTTTGTTTAGTCTAGAGAAGAGAAGACTCAGAGAAGTCATGGCAACAGTCTTCAGATATGTGAAAGGATGCTTCAAAGACAAAGGGAATAAACTATTTTCCATGTCTGCTAGGCGATAGTGAGGCACTGGAATAGGTTGCCTGAGGAGTCTCCATCTTTCCAAGATCTTTAGAGAGTGGTTTGTCAAATATTTGTCAAAATTACTTTGACAGAGCTGGGGTGGGCAGAAGGACTAGATGACTCTTGAGTCCCCAGACCTTCTGATTATCCTGCTGGAGCCCCTCAGACTCTGGTCCTGGTGGATTATTAAATTTCTTATAATTTTTTATTGCTACTGCACTTTGTTTTTCTACACTGTGGATAAAAAAATTATTTCTGAATGTATCACATACAAGGCAATATTTGCCTCCTTGCATCACCTACATTAGATGGCACTAATTACCCCAGCACATGGCCCAACATCGGTTCACTGTGGCGCCTGCTCTTCCAACAGATCTCATGCCTTGAGGAATTAAATGAATCAATTAAATCCCCTTGAAATAACAGAGTTTAGTGAAGATTTGAATGTATCTTTATCTGTTAAAGAAACTATGCAAGATCAATCAATTATTTTAGGTTAAGTATTGCTCAGCTTAAGCTCTTTGTGCAGCCTGTGCTGCTTCAGTGAGTGTCCATGTCTCTGCTTTACTGTAAATCTACATTAATCATGATGAATGACTATGTACGTTGCAGGGTGGCAGGAAAATCTCTAGTGCAAACAGAAATCAGACAGGTTGGAGTGGCTCTAGAAGCTTCTGCATAGCTGAGGCTAAAAGTAGTCTCAGCCTGTTGATGTTAAGTCTTTGGATGTAAAGAAAAAAAAGTAGAATGTTTTCATCTGGGGCTGTAATGGTGATAGAAAGCAGCCAAGCACCAACAAAATCAGCCCATACCTCTCTGTAGCTGCCAGACTTACAAACCTTATCTACACTGGCTTTTATTGCCCCAGATTTTCCACCACAGCTGCCAGCAGAGACAGCCATGGGAAGTTTGAGCCCATCTGTGAATGAAATCATTGTCACTGCAGGTGCAGTCACACCTGGGAGCCGCCTCTCTGCTGAGGGGAAAAAGTAAGAGTGTTCAGGGGGAGGAAAAGATCTCTTAAAATGTGCCTGCTCTGTCATTTCAGGATCGCTGGAGATACAGCACTCAACAAAAACATCCACGAGTCGGTCAGCGCTCAGATCCGGAAGAACTTTGCAAAAAGCAAATGGAGAGTAAGTGACCCGTCCTGAGGGGTGACACTGACTCACAGCTCTGTCATACGGCCACCCCTGCAGCAGGGCAGTGCTTTTGTGGCCCAAAATTGTGGCCAAAATGGTTGGTCTGGGTTTAGGTTACATGACCCTGCAGGGCCTCTTATACCGGATGGTGTTTGACAAGTCCCAAATGTAGAGTGTGAGAAATGGGCTGGGGCTGCTCATAGCTAAAGCACCTATGGTTTTGGCAGTGGGGTCAGCACCATGCAGGGACATGAAGAAATGTATGTTGGGGCAGGGATGGATTTGTCAAATATGACTTTCTTGTAGGCTGCTGCATCTCAGCTGAGCACTAGGACAACAAAGGTTTGATAACGCACTCTCTAGTTTCGAATTCAGGAGAAATTCAAAAGATAACAGGCTTATTCCCTTCTGACACTCTGATCAGCCAGGAGAGGAGCACAAATAACCCTTCCACCTCCATCTTTTTCTCTTCTTGATTTCTTTCCCGTTGTTTTCCTGCAGCAAGCGTTCAATGCCACGGCAGTCGTGCGGCACATGAGGCGGCTACACCTCGGCAGCAGCCTGGACAGCGCCAGCGCCAGCGTGTCCAGCACCCTCAGCCTCGCCACGCCGCTCCCCGACGCAGCCACACGGAAAGATTGTGAGTAGCCACCATCCCGGGAATCCCAGCAAATCCACAGCATCCCCATTTCCCCCTGACCCCCCAGGCTGCAGTCCTCGCTGCCCATCGGTTTGGCTTGGTGCAAGCAGGCGTTGAAAATAAGGATTTGAAACGGGCCGTCATTTTTTGGCTGGCCAGAAAAGTTGTGTTGCAATTGGAAAAGTCGATGCGCTACAAAAAAATAATAAGGTTTTGGCTTGGTGATTTTTTGAGAGAAAATCACAGTTTCTTGTGGAGAAAAAGGGCTTTTGCTTGGGAAAAAGACCCAGACCCTCACAGCAACAAAGTTTTCTGTTTGGTTGAAATTTGAAAAAGTTTACTCAAATTGTTTATGTTTGAGTTTAGAGTATCATGATACAGCATCTTTCTGTAAAAATTGCCTTATTTTCCATTTCCATGGAGAAGACTGATCTTGCCAGACAGACCCAGCTTCTCTCTTCCTAGGCCAAGTTAAGCTCCTGCATAAAGAGGTTCATTTGTTTGAGCAGGATTCAGACTCTGTGCACCACTGTGGGACTTGGCCCTCTGCCATGTTTGTTTTGTGCCATAATTGATATTTGCAAGCTGCCCACTGGACTCATGTTTGGGATATATATTTTTTTCTGAATGCCAGGGAAGGGGACATAGCAGCAAAGGGATTATTTGGAAGACAGAAATGCATCCTCTGTAATGAAGTCTGTTTATTCTCTCCCTTCTGAGCGTTTCTTTTTTCCTCTCCTGTCCATCTGTAGATATTTGATATCATGAAATGAGGGATGTGAACTTTACAGTTGGGAGGGTTACTTTAAAGTGCAATACTAAAAAGGAATTCTTTGCTGCAGACTGAAGTAGTCATTTCCAGACTGTACCTTGCACTGTCCTGGAGCTGAAAGAGCCTATTGCTCAGGATTTTGGATAATGCTGCTCTCTGCTTCTGCCACCCCTGCTTGGCCTGCTCCTTGCTGAGGACATGCCTCCAGCCACAGTCCTGGTGGCTCTGTGTGGAAGCTGTTTCCTCTTGCTGCCATGAGCATGGTTTCCCCCACAATCTGGGGGAGGTTTCTGCCTTCTGGGTACTCTGTGAGATACTTTTTCAGCCTGTGCTGTGGCTGAGCTAGGGGAGAGCTCCTTTCCCCCTGGATCCTGAGCCTGGGGGGGATTCATACCAAGTGTCCAGTTTGGGATGCTCAGTGCCAAATCCTACAGCTGTTGCCAAAAAAACATCACCATGCTCCTGGCACCTGGAAAGGAGTGATGCTGACCATCCTCAAACACTTCCAACCATGTACTGGCCATGCAGCAATGTAGAAAATCCCCTATGTGGGAGAAATGTCCCTTGGTTTTGGCTCCTGTTGCAGTATGGTAAGGCTGGACCTCAGTCAGGTCTACAGCATCTGTTGAATGCTTTGCTGCTAAACTGGTGGGTGATAATTGCAGTTAAACTGGTGGGTGATTAATCTCCACCCATCCATTTGATTAATCTCAAATGGTGTTAATTAATGGCAGTCAGTAATTTGAAAAGTGTTAAAATGTGTGTGAACAGGAAGGGTGGGAAGGCAAAGAAATCTGTTTAATGACTACAGAACCCTGTGCAGCCATATTTTGCAGTAGTGAAGTCAACCAGGACATGAAGGATTAAACCAGATGTGTTAAGATAGGATGAGCTTTTACATGCCAGAAACACAAGGCAGAAAAATATTGGAAGATTTCCAAGCATCCTAGGTTAAGTCCAGCTTGGCAGACAATGCAGAAGAGCTTTTGTTCCTCAAAGAAATCATTTAAAGAGTTAGGAGATGCTGGAGCCCCAGAGAACCAATAAGGAGAGCCAGCAGCAAATGCAAGGGGTTAAGAGAGATCTAATATATCAAATACATTCCACCCAATACCTCCTGATAGGAGAAAGGAAATCTCTGATGTCTCTCTCCTACCTCTTTATTTCTCAGCAGTTTTCTCTGGGTACAGACTCCTTGCACGAGAATGATCCCATGCAGCAAGTTACATGATCCAGCTGTGCCACCCTTACACAATAGAATGCTGCCTGATGCTACTAATAGACACTTTTTCAACTCGTTCAAATGCAGCAATTTCACATCACTGAAGACAATTAAGTACAGCCTTTGCCTGACAGTAGATTATATCAGGCTGCATCCAAAACCTCTGCAGTAGGGCAGAGCAGAGATCAGGCATTAGACTGGATTATGCCTGATATTATATATCCCTAAGGGAATCAGTCAGGATTTCTCAAGTGTATTGGCCTGATTCTCAGTCCATGGCTGGTTTATTCAATTCAGTCATGATTGGACTGCTTAGATTATTTATAGGTCCTGGAGCTCTGTATTTTTAATGTACTAGATAAATTGCAGTGTGATGCCAAGTTGTCAAATGTCAGTGGGGAATGGAATGTGGCCAAGTATAGGTACAGCATAGTCATCCTTGAGATTGAAATGCCTCGTTGAAGCATGGAAAAGTAGTTAAAAGTCCCAACAAGTATCAAAAAGATCCTGAAGAGTCAAAAGGTCATGTCAAACTTCAGTCTGGGAATATATTAATATCAGCTTCATCCATCCTTTATTCACCAGTCTGGAAAAATGAACTGTATTTCTAATCACTCTGAGCCTGCATCTTGTCAGAGCAAGGTGACCATGCCAGGTCCCCACCTAACAGCTTTTGTTGCACCAGAGTACTGGTACTCAAGAGATACTCAACCTCACGTCAACCTACATCTCAGCTGGAAGTCCTGGAGACATCCCAGCAAAACCTGGAGCAATGGGCTGTCACTAGAGTGATGTCCAAGTCACTCAAATTTACATTCCCGCTAGATTTACTGGAACTCAGCAACAAGTTTGACCCACTGTACTTCCCAGGATGCCCAGGGAACTGTTTAGCCCAGGTGCACAGTCTGTTCATTTAGCTAGATGGCCATGGTGAGACATTTAATCATCTTTAACATGCCCAAGAGGAAATTATTCTGAGCAAGTACAATGCTGAAGGGATTTTTGAGCCCCACAACTCTTTGTCTTCAGCCCTGGAACTGTGACATCGGTGTGGCAGAACTTATACCGAAAGTGGGCCTTGAGTCCCTGTGAGATGTGTGTGCACTGCTGCTGGTGGTAGTAGGGGAATGACCATGGGCAGAAGATGCCCTGTGGAGGTACCCAGCCAACCCACCACTGCAGGAAGAGCAACAACCCCTCCTCCAGCCGCAATCCTCTCCGCTCCGTAGCGTGCTACGAAACAAACTCCGCTTTGCCCGAGTTCCCACCTCCAAAAATAACATTTCTAACTGTGTTTCTGGCTTTCCTTTTAGGTATGTCTCCATCCACTCTCTGTAGTTTTGTTTCATCTGCTTCTTCAGGCGTTTCTGCGGTAGGAGGGGACCGGAGACCCAGAGCCACCACAGTGACCACAGTGCACACAGGGAGCAAGTGAGCGCCGGGGCGGCGAGGAGCGGGAGGCGGCCTCGGCGCCGCCCCACCCTGCTCGGCGAAGGACTAGAAGAAAGAAGATTTTTTTATGGCCATATTTTCTACTGCAATTCTGAAATGTTTCATTGATCACAAACTGCAATGACTCCAGGAGGAACGAAATCTAATAGTCGCTGGTGCTGTACATATATATATACATATATATATATATATAAATATATATATGTATGTGAGTCTAGCAATGTTCTAACTAATGAACACTCATTCTTTTCCCCAGTGATTTACTCTTTTCTCAGTGTAGGTAACAGTATATGTTGTATTTTTTTCCCATTAACTACAAACATCTCAACTGGATTATTTAAATAGAAATACTTTCCTAAGCATATTTTTTTCTTTTAAAAATTACTTCAAGTAATGTCCCTCTTCCAGTTTGATGGGGGATAGCTATTTCTGTAGGTAGGAATTGGCATTAACTTTGCAACTTGGGAGGATTTCAATGGCATGCAATTTCTTGTTCCTCAAATAGGACTGCAAGTCTGTCTGGCTTTAGCAGAGCTGTTACTGCTCAGATTAAGAAACTGCTGCTTTCCCCCTCATCCTCCTCCTTGAAAGCCATGGGGAGAATTAAATTGCCACCAGCTGGGAGTCAGCTCATCCTTAGCCTCATTCCTGTCGTGCAGAGGAGAGGCAGGTACACGGAGTCAGGCAGGAGCTGACCAGAGCTGTGCAAGGGAAATAACAGAGCATGGGCTCATCCTGCAGCTCCCATCTCCTTCGAGTCACTGTGTGTTGTGAGCAGAGGGAGAGAAAAAGAAGATACAGGAGTGGGAATCATCGTCCTCTGCCACTGATTTGCTGTGCTGCCCTCAAGCAAGACATTTAATTCACCAGCCTCCCCAAAGTGTGGCCTCTGGCATGGGGTGCATCCAGCCCAAGGGCTTCATGAGAGAGATCCCAGCACCCACAGCTCCCTGGGGCTTTTCCTGGCATTGCTGATGCTCAGCACCTCCCAGAACAGCCAAAGTAGGGAGAGGAGAGGAGGGGTGCTTGAAACCCTCTGTAAAGCACTGGCAGGTTCTTGGGTACAAAACGCAGGATGTGGTGTAGTGTAGCTCCATCATGATCAGGCTGAGGGTTGACAAGGAGTGCTCAGCTGGGAAAGCAGCATCTTGCTGAAAAGCACAGGCACAGCTGGCAGCAGTGGTGGCACTGGCTTTCCCTCCTCTCCAGGAGCTCATATACCAAAGCAAGCCAAATTTACCCATTTTTTAATTACTGAATGCATGCACTTCCCAGGCTCTTTGTGCTGGTGCATCTTTCAGGAACAGCCACCAAAACTGCTGTGCTGCTGTGCATTAAAGCAGCTTGAAACAGAGAGGGGAGCAAATTTGCCCCATTTGTTAAAGGGCTCCTTCCAGGTTACCTCAATGAAACTCCCATCTGATTTTGCTTTGAGGAGGTGAGAGGGGACGCAGATGGCAGAGGCAGATGCCCTTCACTGGGCACTCTGAACCCCTCACATCCCAGACAGGTCCATCCCTGCCAGAGGGACAATTCCCTGCAGTGTGCTCTGTCACCACACTTGCCTCACTTATCCTGCACAAGAAATTGTGAAAGCCGGTCATAGACAGGGCTGAATGTATCAGGCAATAGTGCTTGTGCTGGGAAAAGCCATAAGATAGGTATTTTTCACTGAGACTTCTGTATCCTGCTCCAGCTTTGCTTGGTTGGCTTCACACGGCAGAGCCGGGATTTCATCCATCCTACCAAAAAAAAACACCCTTGAGAAAAAAAAAAGCTGGGAAGGCATGTGGCAGTGAGCACTGACTGTGTTTGAAACAGCCACTCCAGTGGCACTTGGAGCTGTTGCACCAAGTTTCTCTAGCTCTCTCTGTGTTAAGTTGCTCCCTGTTTTCAGAGGTTTGTGGCACATCTGGGTGAGCCCAGGTGCACCCTGTGCACCCCACTGTGCTGCAGCTGGCATGGATGCTCACACAGGAAAGGCTTTACCTTCAATTTCTCATTTTAAGAAAGATAGCAGATACTAAACTATTGGGGGCTTACAGCAAAACTGCACATAATTTACACAGTGAAAACTTCTGACCAAGATTTGGGCAGACTGAAGGTCAGGGGACATCTCTGCTGCAAGTCACACTCCTGTGTACCCATACCCTGGCCATTGCACCATACACTTTTTATTAGCATTTTCATCTGAGCTCTTTATGTCTTGCTGCAAAAGCATCAAAACACAAGTAGAATACAAACTCATTCTACGGCCTAAACTCATTCTAAGGCCTAAACTCATTTATTTTACCAGCCTGAGTAAGGAAGTTTTAGTTTTGAGAGACTCCAACCCCAAAAAGTTCAAGATATTTTGAACCCACATGATTTCATAAGCTTGACTGACCCTATTCTGCTCCAGTTGCAGGTTGTAAATAGACAGTCTCCCAGTTTGGCAACAGTGGAGTTCCCTACATTCACCCATGTGCAACAAAAGCAGGATCTAGTTAGGGAATAATTTTGTCTCTGTAGAGCAGTTTGAAAGGTTAGGGATCAAATGTTCCCTCTGTGCCTCATCTTCTGAAACCTGAGGTCTGGTTTGAACTTGACCTCAGCAGTTGCTGTGACCACTGGTCAAAATACAGCATCCAAATGAATCTTGCAGAAAAAACAAAAGCAAATGGATTTCCATCTCCAAAACAAAGAGCAGTGACAGGAGCAAAGGCAGACATGCTGTCCTGCAGATGGGGGTTCCCATACACTGGCTGCCCCTCCTTGCTGGGTTTTTTTCTGTGGTTTTTTTTATGAGAGGGGTATTCTTTCCTTCCATTGTTGGATATAATGTGATTTGGTTTTGTTTCTGCAAGTAATATTCTGCCTTGGTTGTGTAATTTATCATCATTCTCTTTGGCTTGCTATCAACTGCTGGGATCATAAGATAAAAAAAAGAAGCACTTATGAGCTACAGTTTTGGTGATGGGGAGCTCTTCTTTGGTATCAAGCTGGAGACCTGACCCAGGTTCACCAAATGCTGAGTTCTCTCCTGAAGCATCACTTGGTTGAAACTTCTCAGTTTAAATCTGAGTAAATCTGTTATCAGGGGTGACTTGGCAGCACCCAGGCCAGATCTGTCAGGGAGGGCTGGAGACATTTGCCCCTTGGAAGCACAGCTAGGGCAAACACTCCAGCCTTGCTTACCAGGGATGCTCCAGAGCTTTTGCATGTCCTTCCCCTGCCCCAGCCTGCTTCTGCTCAGCCACTCCCACAGGAGAATGCAAAGGTAGAGAAAATAATGTGGGCATGGGGGGAATGGCTGAATAACCCCACAGTAGAAACTTCAAAACAAATCCCCAGCTGGCCTTGCTATGAAGGACTAGGTAGAAAAATCACTCTGGGCTTTTTTTTCCAATTAACTGTCCTGCTAAACAATCTGTGATTTGCTGCTTGCATGAGGACTTCAGCCTGGACTCTGTTTGTTACCCTTTTCTGCTTTACTTTACTGGTACCGATGGGTTTTTCCTTTGTAACTTGTTTTCCTCAGCTCCTTCCCCTTCTTTTTCTTTGCTTGCAGCTTTGATTGTTGATTTTTACCTCCAGAGTCACAGAGGCCATCTCTGATGCCAACAGCAGTGCTCTTGCTGGGAAAACAAAACAAAAAAAATCCAGAAAAGCTCCAGCTGGCCCCTTAGCCTGCAGAAGAAGTTGTGAGGACAGGCTGCCCGTGAACTCTGCGAGCTGAAAGTCAGTATTGCAGTGGCAAGGGCTTCTGCTGATGATTTTGCATGTGACTTCATTCCCAGTGCATCCTAACTCTCTGCTGGATCAACCCTTCTGCAGCACAAAATGGATATTGGCCCTGCAACACAGCTGCTGGGGAAGTAGGAGTGTGGGGAAAACCTGGCAGTGTTGCTTTCCTGAGACTGTGTCACTCTGCTGCTGCTGCTGTCTCCTCTGTCCTTGTTGCTGTTGTACAGGTGCCATTAGAGTAGTGGGCAAAAAAAAAAAGAAAAAAAAAAGGTAGGATTTTACCTATGCCTTGTGTGTGTGTGTGTTATGGTTGTGGTGCTGAAATAAAACCAAGACATTTGGTTCATTCCTGACAAGAATCAAACCACAAAAAGGGGTGTGATCCCACTGGTAGACATCTCCATGTAGTTCTGCTGTAGGCAGTGAATAGGGGTTTCTGCTGTGCATGTGTCCTGCATACCTTCATGGCTGTTGACAGTATTTTTTTTTAATAGTTATTTTGGGTCCCTGCCTGGTTCTGATGAAATTCAGGTCTTGTCTCCTGATCTAAGGCTTTTCTCCCCAAACCCTCTGCAAACCAGAACATGGGCCTCCAGGGTGCCCATGAAATGCAGTTGCAGCTGGCCCCAAGGTTGTCCCCTTCCTATTTTTAGGGAAGCAAACAGCCAGAGAAAGCCAGATAGCTTTCAGCCATTGGCAAGCAGAGAGGATATTGCCCTTTGATGTGAACTTGGCATTAACAAGATCAGCTCTAGGGAAACCTGTGCTATTACTTCCTCCTGTGATAACAGCTCCAGCCCTGAGCAGCACTGAATGAGCACCAGATAAAAACTGAATTTGCCAGCAAGATCATGCAGGCTATAGCCTGTTCCTTTTGCTCTTTCCAAAGAATCAGGGGATTCATCTACTGGCAAAGTAAGTTTCTAGGCTGAGCCCCAAGGTAAAGAAGTAGTTTCCATTCAGCATATGGAAATTCTCATTTGATGCAATTATTCCTGCTCTTGCTGCCATGAATATTTACCTGTCAAAGGGGGAGTGAATGCATCCCAGAAATTATTAATGGGAAGGAAGTTTTGCCTTCCTTATTGTGCTTATTTGCTCCAGAACCTCCAACACTCATTCAGGCAAAAAGCAGAAACACACATGGAGACTCTGGTATCCAAGGAAAACAGCATCAAGACCAAGAGTAGAAGATTAATTGGCAAATCACTGTCAGCAATAGCTGAGTGAGGGAACAGCAACCTGCTCACAAACACTGCATGAACTCTTATTTCCCCTGGTAAACCAGTCATCCCATACTTCATGCCCAGCAGCAAGTTTTACCCAATCCCTTTTGTTTTCCCTCACATCCCTGCAGCAGGGTCCTGCCTTCCCAGCCTGTCTCTCTGTGACACACGAGTGTTTTTGTGTGTGCACGTGTGTGTTGTGGCCCCAGGGATCACAGATCCCTCCTGTGGTTCATCAGGAGCTGGTCCGGGTTTTTTGGTCTGACTTTGCGTGGTTGGGTCAAAGCTGTGTAAATAGTGTTTGTAGCAGAGGATAGAGGCTCTTTAGCCTGGACTCTGGATTTCAAAACCCCCTTCCCCACCACAAATAGTGCCACTTATCTGTCCAGGTAGCTTTTTTTTCCCTTCCTCTTCATAAATGCTAAGGTCAGTCGAATGGCTCATAGAGTTTTTCCATACTCCAGAGTGGAATCAGGGCATGTGTGCTGGCAAGCGTTGTGAAAAAACACTGCTGAGCTAATGATGGCATCAACTGTCCAATAAATGCATGATACTGCACTGCATGTATTAAACTGCTGGTCACTGGTTCTGTATTTCCCGAGCCTTTTCTTTATCCACATTCAACCCAACCTTCTCTCTGAGGGAATTACTTCCATGCATTGCTTTTAAATGACTCAATGTACCTGTAACTCGAAATCCATTGTTAAGTTTAAGTAAATGCAAAAGCTGATGTTTTGTAAACAAGATATTGCAAAGCCTGGTAATGTATTTTGTCTTTCTGTTGAGTGCTCTGCAGCATGTACAGGAAGAGTCACCATCCAGAGCAGCTTAAAATTAGGCAGCAGTCACATACACAGATACAGAAGCAGGGAGCTGGGGAGGTGAGAATCCCTTTTTTAATATAACACTTACAGATTTGATCTGAATCAAAAATTCCTTCCCTGGGTCACTAACTCTCAGAGCTGCCAACATATTGGTGTGTCTCTTTTTTTTTTTTTTTTTTTTGGTTTGTTTTTCCTAGTGAAAATTCAGATTGGTTCGCTCAATTCTTAGTATTTTTCTCATCCTGTGAGATAGTTCTTTCTCACCTGTTGCAGAATGAACTGCATTTTGGGGACCAAGATGCTGTGATTCTTTGCCTGCACAAAATAGGGCAGAAAGCTGAGCTAAACTATCCCATCCTTTCCAAAGCATCACCACCTAAATACTACCATTTAATCCCTGAACCTCCAGGTAATACCATTTATCCACGGAAGAGTTTGGTGTGGTACTTTTCCTTCTTCCACATGGAAACCATGCCCTTGCCTTCTCTTCCCTTAGTCATTGACCCATTTTCATCTGTGCTGGTCTTTCCAAGGCAGAGTACAGGATTGCTCCAGCCCAAACTTCTTGTAGGCATCACCAGGCCTTTGGTCCCAGCTCCTGAGTGGCTGCTGTGTGGAAAACCCTTGAGTTCCCAACACTCAAAGCAGTCATCTGAAAGGACTGGGAATTGCTCTGTGCTCCTGGCAAGGGCATGCCAAGCTGCAGGCCTGGGGAGCAAGCACCATGCTTGGTGGCATAGTCCTTGGAAATTGTTCTCCATGGTGGCCGAAAACACCGAGAAGTCTTGAGCCCCCCTTCAAAGGCTGGTGCTCAGCCAGGGCTGTGCCATTGCCAAATCACTGTATGGCAGCACAACAAACCATCAGATACAGCTGTCAACCAGCCTGAGTTCAGATTGCTGGGGCAGCACCTGGTGTGAGGCTCCATGAGGAGGTGGATGTGTGCTGTGGTTCCTGGTGGGTGGGAGCTCCTAGGGGGTTGCTCGGAGCAGCTCTGAGCTTTTCCATCTCTCATCTTGCATCCCCTGAGCCCAGCATGGCATCACACATGCTGTGTCTTATTAGATCGAGCATGACCCCCAAAGTGAAGAGTGTGCAAGGTTGCAGCTCAGTTGGTGCGATTCATGTTTTGGTCAACACAACATCAGTGACTTGCTGTACATTGATCTCTAGTTGAGAAACAATATTTTGGCCCATTTGGGCCTCTTTTTAGATAGATATTTTATTTGAGCCAGAAAACAGTGGGAATAAAAGAGCCTAGTCTGCCCAGAATAGTGACTCCCCAAATATCTCCAACTGCAAAACATCCCTCAGTTGACTTCTAATGAAAATGCAAGCATGTTTTCTACAAAGGCTTTAATCTTAATCAAGGAATGTCAGTGTGCCTAATATTGCAGGTCTTGTGATTGATAACAAGTTCATAACCGCATCCATGTCCAAAAAGAAGGGAGAATGTGTATTTACTCCATGCATGTATTATTAAGGCATTGCAAAAGTTTTATCTGCGTAATGAGTTTGCAGTTCTGCAAATTGTTAATGGGGCTACATCGCAAGTGGTTCTCTGCCTTGACAATCATGTATACATATCGAGATTTCTATCATAATGACAATTTAAAGGGATGACTAATTGTTTTCCTCCAATAAATCCAATTAAATCAGCCTGATGTGAAGTCTGATGATTTTGAGTGCATGAGTCTCCACCCACATGCAAGAAAGAGAGTGAATAATTTCTGTGGCTGCTCCACTGCCCTGTTGTTTTTTTTGTGCAATGATGTTCCTTTATGTCCCAAAGGAGAATAATAAGATTTTCTTTCTCCCCAGTTCACTCCATAGGGAAATGAATAGAAGGATTATTCGTCCTTCATATTTTTCCTAAAGCTGTCAATAGAAATGGTGTTGAATGTCAACATATGGAGACATGGCTGTCTCCTGAGCTCTGAGAATATCTGTGTAGGGCTGGGAAGGACATATACTTGTTGGAGACTGCTGCACATTTGAGTTGGTGCTGGTGACTTACACACCCTGTGGTGGGAATCATCAAAGGAGACAAGATTTTCATCAGTGAGAATTTCTGAGTCCCTTTGCAGTCAGCTGTGCTCTCCAAAGACTGTTGAGTGTGCTCCACCATTGGCTTAATTTTCTTCCAGACAATGTTCCTGGGGTGTGTTATGACCTGATTTTCATTTTTTCCTCTTATTTTTCTCAACTATTGTTTTTTATCTTCTGGTTTTCACTCACCGGCACACAAGAATTCCTCCCTTCTTAAAATAGGTGGCAGAACCAACATGCCCAGCAGGGAGGTGGGCCTGTGCTTGAGGCCAGAGCTAGGTAATTTTAGACACCTGGTTCAGTAACAGAGTTGAAACAAACAGCAGTGATGATGGCCAGCTCATAGCAATATAAAGAGAAAGGCAAATTACTTATAAAGCTTTTATTTTGTGAATGAAGAAACAACCCCCAGAACCAACACTGTAAGTATTTGAAAGCTGTGGTGAGCAGCTGTGTTCTCAGAATTATGTTTTGATAGTGGGTTGTACCAGGACAGGTAAGATAACCTTCAATTTGTGCTCCAGAAAAAGCACATCCATGGCAAAATACACCTTTGGAAAAGTACATCCATGTACAAAAATGCTGCCTGGAAGTGTGTTGGACGTGGTGTGTGACACTGAGGCACAAGCACATGATTTGCAGCGTCAGGAAGAGCAGCAGATCCTGTAGAAAGACTGTGCTGTCTTTCCACGTGACATAAGCCTGAACTCTGACAATCCTTTCACACTAAGGACTCATTCTCATGTGTATATGTTAGCTGGATTTGGCTCAAATGTGGCACTTACAGTAGATAAAGGTTTACCCCACATTTCACCATGAAATTAAAATCTCAGCCGGGAAAACTTTTTCATGTTTTGGTTTTAAAGTCATGGGTTCCCCCATAGATTCAGTGGTCACTCAGAGTCCAGCAGGCTCTTCCAAGCTCCCAGAGAGACTGGGCAGAAGGTCACCCCAGGACCACTGAAATCCTCAGCCATGACATCCGGACGATCTCATGTCAATATTCACTTCGTCTTTGTACATCTTTGCTGCTATGTGCTCAGCCACAAATTCTTGGCTGTTTGCAACAAGGGAGATAAAACATTAGTACAGAGAAGCCAGAGGGACAAGACCAAGATGCAACTGTATAAAATATTTTGCTTGCAACCTTGCCAAAATCCACAGCCATGTTTGCACTGGAGGGAAGGGGGATACCCTTACTTTGAAGGCTTTCAGAGTGTTGGTATGCACTGTGGCTTATGCCACACATCAGCCTTTCCTTGTGCTGCACCAACACCATTTCTCATTCCTGCTCTCAACCAGAAGGCTGTGGCAGCTCTTTTTTCACAGCTAAGAGGAGTTTTGAATGAGGGATACCTGTTAAAGCAGAGAAAGCACAGGTGCACAATTTGGAGGAACATCCAACCTGAGTAGGGATATACCCCTGTGGTTCAGGAGCAGGTGATGCTGAGGAAGACATTCTGCACAGAGCTTTCAAATCAGTGCTTGTGCACTGTAAACTGTCCTACCCTCTGTGATAATGCCTACATTGAATCTCTTCCTTCAGGCCAAACCTTCAGCTCTGTGAATCCACAAAACCACATTGATCTTGTGAGATCCCTTTGGGCAGCTTTCCATGAGGAGACAACATGGGCCTGCACTGCCCAAAAGCAATCCCAGGACACTCTAAGCTGTCATAGGGATAAAAGGATGCGCTCTTCCCACCATTTTATGCTTCCTCCCAGCTCTGGGCATCCCTCAGGGAGAAAATCCTCCTACATCACCATGGGCATGTGCCCTGCCCAGCACATCTGAGTCCCTCTTTGGTGGACCCTCTCAACTGTACTGAATTGTTTTGGTGTTAACCATTTTTTATATCTATGGGGGTGGGGAAGAAGGACCATCTGGACTACCACTGCAAGTATTCAATTGAGTATTTCCAGATTGTTTGGCGTTTGGGCTTTCCTGGATTACACTGGGATAAATTCCTGACTTCCAAACTTTGTGTGCTTACCCTGATTTCAAGAGTTTGTTTTCTTTTTTAATCTTTGGGATTCTTCTTTTTATAATTTCAATATTCTGATAAAGTTACAGTCAACTAATGATTCATTTACCTTCTTCATGAAAGTGTTTTGTTTAGGGAAATTAATAATAATAGAACTGAGAGGCAATTTATTGTTCCCATCAAACTCACGAACTTTGTGCTTTCTTTGGCGCCATATAGACTCTTGTATGTTTTTCATTTTCTTTCTTTAGGGCAGAAGAAAGAGCTGTGTTCACATCTGTGCCTCAGCTTGCAGTCTAACAGTGACCAGAAATGCATAATAAATCTCAAACTAATGCTTCTTTTTGTTGCAGGCCAGCTACCAACCATATTAAGAATTACATATCACATCTTCAAGTTTGCATTTGCTCAAAGTAGCGTCTGAAATGCAACTTTCCCTCCTTTGACCCAGCACAGCTCAGTGTAGCACCTAAGTGGATCAGAGCCCTTTTCCACTACAAAGAAAAACCAAAATTATAGTCTTGGTGAGCCCATATAGACCTTCAGTGGGAGTTGACAGATGAACTCCCGTTCTCAACAAATAGAACACAGGTATATGATGGACACACACTTGGAGTTATAATATATGGTAGTACAATACAATAGAATGCTATATTATATGATCTGTATTATATTATACAATATTATATTATTACAGTGTCTCTATCAGACTAAAGCAGAGGGAAACATGGCATTAATTGAAGGTTGGGAACTATTCTGCTGTGCCTTGTCAGTACTCAAATGATAGGATTTTGCCATGTATTTCAATTACTTTTTGGTCACAATATCTAAAGAGGGAATTCATCTTTGATCAAGCTGGGGCTGAATTCTGAAGACAGTGTGCAGCTTTGTTGCCACCAAATACCAAGTTCACTGCTGAGTCCACTGGCAGTCACCTTGGAGGCTTGAATTGAGGAACTTCTTCCCTGTCTAAGTATTTGCAGTATGCAGAGGGCACCACATGCTTGAGTTTACCGATGGTACCCATTAAATCTATGGAGAGAACCGAGTGTCCAGCAATTCCTCTGGAAGAAAGTCAGAGACCTTCAGGAAAGAGCCAACAGCTGTGGTTAAGATGGGTTTGTTAGCAGGACACCTTGGGGGCTGCACTTACCTGTCCAAAGAAGGTGGTGACAGACTGATGAGACAATTTAGCACCAAATGTGGCTGAACAGATGGACGGGGTCCTGACACCTGTTCCTGGAAGTCACCATGTCCAGGGATACCTGCAGCTATGGATGGCCTGGCAGGGCTGTTGTGCTGTGCACCCAGGCCGTGGTCCCCAGCAGCTGATGGACCTGTACCAGGTTGTGCCCATTGCCACTAAGCTGGTTGTAGCAAGATGAGCTGAGCACCTCAACTGTGAAGTATTTCATTCTTTAAATTCTCTTGTGGTGATATAATGCAGTCATTCTGTTCAGCTTCAGCCTCATAACTTGTTTTGATTATCTGTGGCCTTATGGTGGTGATTTAAACCTACTGATTTATTGATTCAGTCTTAATTGGGTCCTGAACTGGGTCATTGCATCATTCTATCTTTAATTGTTTTAATGAAAGTCTAGCAAATTAGGCTGGTAATATGATTGCTTAGAGGAATTCTTGCCTGCTCATGCTTCTTAATAAAATCCATAAAAGTGAAAAAAGGAATGAGCTTATCCTACTAAATTGCCACTTGTATTATGGAGTCTGAGCAAAGCTCAGAAAATCAATCTGCAGTGTCCTTGGCTCTTCCTCCAAATGTAGGTTTTCAGAAAGAGAAAACTTAGCACCTCAGCAAACATCCCTACAGAGGAAGAATGAGAGAAAGAAAACAGTAAAATGTGAAGCTAAAACCTGGTTCCAGTTCCCATTTCTCAGATTTCCTTTACCTTTGCAAGCAAGTTGTTTAGGAGAAGACCTAAAAACCTACTTATATCCCAAAAGAGAACTGTAGCCCAGTGGCTAGAGTACATGCTGGGATCCCTCCTGCTGTGAAAGCCCAATTCTCTGTGCGTTTTGAGGTCTTTCATCACGTCCCCAGAGGTTTGACTCATGCCCTGTTCTCTTTGCTGTCAGTTTGGTGCCCAGATGAACACATTAGGCAGAGCACTCAACACTACCCGTGAGAAGGACAATTTTCTCCCTATTTTGTTTTGTGACATTCATGAGAAGCATGGGCGTGGCTGCCCTCCATCACCACTGGCAGCTTCCTGTAGCCTGCACAGTTCCTTTCCACCTCTTCCCCTCTGGATTTCCAGCAAGGCTGATGCATCTGCAGTGTATTTTCTACCCACTGGGTTAATGAGCTCTGTGTTGCCAGAGCTGCCTGTAACTTCTTAATGTCCCCCTGTTTTATGGCTGGAAATATGCTGCTTCCTCCCACTCCTTGCTCATCAGTGAACACTGTACTTTGCATCTCACTTGACCCTGGCTCCTGCTGCAGAGAAAATATCATTACTTACCAGCAGTGCAAAGCCCCCCACCAGCCCTGTTCATATATCCTGAAACCTATTCCATAAGGAATACAAAGAATCTGCTTCAAAACTGAATTTGCAAAACCAAAGAAAATCTGCAGTCATTTAAAAGCAATGAGAATTAAGAATACAGCAGATGAGGAATATGAAGTTCAGATCAGCTTGATCCCCAGCGTGACAATGCATTTTATTTTATCCCTATAGGAGAACAGGGACTTTTGTCTCTGCATGGGCTGTTACAATGTGGCTGGAAAGCTTCCATTATCTTTTAATTAAACAGTGGGATTACATTTTGATTTCTCCAGCCCATTTAGCCCCTGAGTCAGTGCACAGAATGAAGTACATGTCACGGGTGCTCCAAGTGCAGCACTAACCACTCTCCATTGATCAGGGCTGGATCTGGGACCCCAGTACCTGTCCCCAGGCTGCCCACAGCTCTGACTGCACTTTCAGTTGTCATTGCTCTGAGCAATGACACCTTCCACTAGACCAGGTTGCTCGAAGTCCCACTCAACCTGGCCTTTAACACTTCCAGGGATGGGGCATCCACAGCTTCTCTGGGCAGCCTGTGCCTGTGTGTCACTAACCTCACAAGAAAGAATTTCTTCTTTATTTTTCGACCATGCACTCTGTCTTGGAGCAATTTCAGATTGATGATGGTTTTTGTCTCCATAAGGTGAGGTATCAAATATGTGGCTACAGAACGGACTTTGCAGGTGACATCAGGATGTAACTACAGGTGGTGATCTCTGGCAGAGGCTGTTAGCAAGTGGCAGCACTGGGACCATCACACTGCACTGTACTATCCAGCCATGGTACAACACTGGGGATCAGCCAATGAACAGTGGTTAAAAGGAGATTTGTCTGACTCTCTGCAGCTGAAGAATTTTCAGTCATTGCTTGTAACCTGTCTGAATTGCTGTGGATTCTCCACAGAAGTAATAGACTAGATATCAGCAAAAATATTTAGAGAAAAAGAAAATGTTCTTCAGTTGCAAACAGTCCACAGTTTGGAAAGTACTTTTTTCATGCACTGAGGCAGAGACCAGCATCAGCACAGAAACTTTCAACCTGAACAATGTCAATGCAGCTACTGAAAATGTTGTAAAGTCACAACTGCCCTGCTTTCCTGGTGAGCCGTGCTGCTTCCAGACAATTAAAAGGTACATTTCCTAAGGCAGGAGTTAGCTCTTCATCTTGTGTTTATGGGGAGCAAAATGTTTTGTATGTGTAAAAAAGAATAGATTGTAGTCCTGAAATGAGCCTGAATCACCTATGTATGGACAAGAAAAGATATATCAGGTTATGAGATATTTTCTTTTTGCTAAAAAATGGTTTTCATTACTGCCAGCTTCCAAATAACACACTGTACTTATAGGTGCATATTGCATTTTCTAACGTCTCTGAAACAAGTAATACGAAGACAGCACAACGCATGGTTTGCTTTCCTACAGCAAGAACTGCTTTTCCTGGCATCAGGGAATGGGAAAAATAATTCCTTGACAACAGTCTGTGACATTTTCTCTTCCTTATCACTTTAGGCCAAGTCTCCAGCAAGCAGAGTATTTCAGAAATAATCATAAGAGAAATATTAAAGAGAGGAAAACAAAACAGTTGCCCTGTTCCCATGGAAATGCATGGGAAAAGTTCAAGTGAGCACCCCTCTGATGTGGCCATGTGTTTGTCCTTGGATGGTGAGCAGAGATCAGGCAGCTCATCCTCTCCATGGTCAGCCTGGGGTTTACTGGCATGGCAGATAAATAAATGCCTTTGACCTTGGAGGCTGTCTGCTTTTCTCTGGGCAGGGCAAGTGGAACAGAAATGTCATCTGGGACAACCTGCTGGTCTGCCCTTTCTTCCTCCCTTCTTGGTTGGTCCAGCCCTTCCCTAGTGGATCCTGGCACAGCTCAACACAGGGATCCCTCTGACCTCTTCCCAAGCCACCAGTGACTCCATGGGAACACCTGCCCATCAGTCCCCTCTCACCTCCTGGGTGAGAAAGGGATGAAGAATTTGGGCTATGGAGGTTAAAAGAAGTGGTTTTGTCCCTCTGGTCAGCTGTCCTGAGACTCCACCTGGAGTGCTGCTTTACCTGCCCAAGAGCTCCTCCTCCTCTGTGCATGGCCACCTGGTTTCTGTCAGGAAGGATTTCCCGTTTGCCTCCTTCTGGGCAGTCTGGGTGTATAAGAAGTGCCAGATCATGGCTGTCCCGGGGAAGGACTCATGTTCTTTAAGGGCATTGTGTAAAAACTTTCAATAGTCAAAGGCTGTCAAAAAAGCTCTTGACACTGGAAGACAGAAGAGACCTCTCTGAGCTTTGCTTCAGCCAAGAGGATGTTTGTCCCCTCACTTTTGTTGAGATAGTTGCTTTCCTGTCTAAATAAACAACCCAAGTTTTGGCACCTAATGCAGATTGCTCTGATTCACACTCTGAAACACTCTACATCTCTGATGTGCTGGCACCTCCCCGCCCTGCCCCATTCAAGAAGGTGACAGTTCTAGAAATCGGAGCAGGTGCCAAAATCAAGGGCCCCTGAATTCTCTAATGCAGACCTGCCACAGAACTGCTGTGTGGTTGGAGGGATTTGCATGCATCTTGCTGCCTTTGCTGGACTTTGAGTGGAGAGCAATTGTGCAAAGTCTTGCTTATATAATTTTAAGGACCCAGTGTATTCAGTGGAAGGATGAAGTATTCTGTTGCATTTGTTCCCAGACTGTGATATATAGGCTGCACATTGGCAGCTGGTGACCCTCCAAAACCGTGTGGTTTTTGGTTTCCTCTTGACTGCCTTTCTTGAAGAAAAATCTCAAGAGTCTGTAAGAGCAAGTAGAAATGAAGAAAAGGAGCCAGGCCACTTTGGATGCTGACAGCAATGGCTTGAGCCCACCTCTACTCTTCACCATGCTGCCAGGTTGCCAGCCAAAAGCAATGTCTCTAGGACAGCTTGCCTGGGCCATTCCCACCACAGAAGGAATCACTCATCCCTTGCTCTCCAGCCTGGTCCCTTACCTGGAGCTAAAGCTGGAGCTGGGCAGATACAGAACATGAGTGACAGAGGCTGTCTCTCTGTCCAGTGGGGCTCCCTCACACAGACTCTTGATGGACAGTGAATAGCAAATGGCTCTCCCTTTTCCAGGACCTTTTCCACATCTCCAAACCAGGTACTGGCAGCCACTTCTGTAAGAGCAATTCTGACCTTGTGAGTATTCCCAGCTCCAGTGTCTCTCCTGTAACTACTCTTCACGTCCTTTCTGAGCTTATTGGAGCATCCTCATCCTTAAGACACCACCCTGAGAATATACACAAACCCCTGGGCCCTGCAGAGGCATCCAAGAGATTAAGGAGCAATAAAAATATTTTATCAGACTTGTCAGGGCTGCCATCAGTGCTGGATGGCAGCTGGATTGTCCAGGGAAGGACAGGATCAGGAAGGTTCACTTAGTGCATTTGCTGTGGTTTTACTGTGCAGCACTACAAAGCTTTTGCTGAGCATGTGTGCATTGCAATCCCAAAACATTTCAAAGGCTTCCTGCTGATTTTTCTTGGGGCAAGGGGTACATAGAAGGGACTTCTGCTAAATTTTGTCATGACTCGAAAGTGGTAGCTTGCCAAAGAAAATGCCACTTCACTGATTATATTTTAACACTGCAAAACAATTATTTAGCACTTAAAACTTGTTCTGAGAAATAGGTCCGTGTTTGTGGAAAATTTCAGTGACAAGAAAAATTGCTATCCATAACCAGAGGGGGAGATGCCATTGCATGCAATCAGCATTAACCAAAGCAGCCAACAATTGCTGGAATACTCTCACCAGAAGAAACCATCAGGCACCTCAGGAGTGGTGTGATGCCAACAAACCCAGCTAATGAAAAACCAACAAATTCATATAATCATTTAATCACTTAGGTTGGAAAAGACCCTAAAGAATATTTAGTTTGACTGTTAAACCAGCACTGCCTTGTTTGCCACTAAACCATGTCCCCAAGTAACACATCTACACGTCTTATCAACACCCTCAGTGACAGTGACTCTACCACTTCCCTGGACAGCCTTTTTCAGGGCATGACAACCATTGTGCGGTGAAGAAATTTTTCCTTATATCCAAACCAAACCTCCCCTGGCACAACTTGAGGCTGTTTTCTCCTGTAGTCTCATTTGTTACCTGCAAGAAGAGCCTTGTGCAGACCTCTTTCTGGATATTGTAAAGAACCATGAGTTGTCCCCCAAGCCTTCTTTTCTCCAGGCTGAGCCCCCCAGCTCCCTCAGCTTCTCCTCATTAAGCTTGTACTCCAGACCCTTCCCCAGCTCCATTCCTTTCTCTGGACACACTACAGCACCTCAAGGTCTTTCTGTAATTGAGAGGCCCAAAACTGAACCTAGGGTTCAAGGTGTGGCCTCACCAGTGGACAGTATAGGGGCAAAATCCGCCCTGATCCTGCTGGCCACACTATTGCTGGTACAAGTCAGGTGCCATTGGCCTTTTTGCCCACCTGAGCCCTCTCTGGTTCATGCTCAGTCACTGTTGACCAGCACTCCCAGGTCCTTTTCCACTGGAAAACTTTCCAGCCACACTTCCCCCAGCCTGTGGTGCTGTGTGGGGTTGCTGTTATTGAAGTGCAGGATTTCACCTTATTTCATCTCACGCAATTGACCTCAGCCCATCAAACCAACTCCCACTGTAGGGACACCCTCAAGCCAATCCACACTCCCAACTCTCACCCAACCTGGTGCCATCTGCACCAAATCCTGATCCCCCAAAGATGACTCCCCACAAAGACAGCATTGCTCCCACTCCGCTAAATCCCTGTTGTGCCTGCCTTCCCAGACATCCCTGTTGGGATGGCTTGGCCTGGTTTCCTGCAGAGCCAGGAGCCCTCCCAGCAGCACCACGAGTGCTGGGACGTGCTGTGCTGCTCGCTGTGTTTGTTTTAGGGGATTAGGAACATGCCTGAACCCAAGCACATGCTGGAAACGATGTTTCACACGCAAGGCAGGCTGGTTTGGAGGGAAATAGGGGCACGTCTGTGATTAAATGAAAATAATTGGGGTTAAATAGGGAGGAAAATGAAATTTCCTTGCAATTACTTGGATTGTTATAAGAAAGAATAACACATGGTTTCAGTTTTATCTGCTTTCTACAGTTTTGCCTCTATGCTTTTTCTCCTACTTTCAGAAATTAATTTAGGATCCTTTGCCTCATTAATGAGAGATTACCTAGCTTGGCAAGAGGTTTTGTGTATTAGAAGTGTGCATTACTGATAGAACTCTGAAACACTGATGTGCTCTTTGGTTCCAAAACCCCCTTCTGCCAAAACCCAAACAGAATAACATGGTTATTTCCCTAAATTATTATTCAAACATAAGGAAGTAATTTTTTCCCAATGGTTTTGGTGTTAAGGAGCAAAGAAAGCTACTAACAGTGTCTGCTCCCCATAAATCCTACATCACTTTGTGGTTCTTCCCCATTTATTCAGGTAGGGTTTTTAAATCGAGATGATATTGGGATTTATGAGAATAGTTTATTTTATACACTTTTTTCTATAAATATCCACCTTCAAAAAAACCCAGAAAATTCAGTTGTAAAATCTAAAACTCAAGGTGGTTTTGGGTACAGATCACCATCTGAATTATCCACTTACACACTGGTGAGACACAAGTCCTGCAAAAGTTGTGACAGAAATAGTACAAGAGGGATATGTTGATGGTTGAAAGGGGACAATCCCTAAGAGAACTATTTCCCCTCTTCTGTTTCTTTCTGTCATTCTCTCTCCTCTCCTCTCCTCTCCTCTCCTCTCCTCTCCTCTCCTCTCCTCTCCTCTCCTCTCCTCTCCTCTCCTCTCCTCTCCTCTCCTCTCCTCTCCTCTCCTCTCCTCTCCTCTCCTCTCCTCTCCTCTCCTCTCCTCTCCTCTCCTCTCCTCTCCTCTCCTCTCCTCTCCTCTCCTCTCCTCTCCTCTCCTCTCCTCTCCTCTCCTCTCCTCTCCTCTCCTCTCCTCTCCTCTCCTCTCCTCTCCTCTCCTCTCCTCTCCTCTCCTCTCCTCTCCTCTCCTCTCCTCTCCTCTCCTCTCCTCTCCTCTCCTCCTCCTCTCCTCTCCTCCTCTCCTCTCCTCTCCTCTCCTCTCCTCTCCTCTCCTCTCCTCTCCTCTCCTCAATTTCTCTGTCCTGTTACTATTAATTTTGCTCTTTCACTTCTTGTCATCCTCTGTATCCATCAGGAAAAATTTATTTGTCCACAAAAACATCCCCATAGTGAACACAGATGCCAAAAATCCCATCCTTGTCTCCAGTTGTGTCCAGCTGCTCTGAAAACCCCTAGCACTGGTCCTGCAGATGTTCTGGCAGCCTTCAAGCTCCTGATATGTTTTGGAAAAAGCAGATGTTACTAATTTGTAAAGCATCTTTGAACTTCTCAAGGGGGGGGGCTGACACATTTGGTGCTGTTTCTAACTAAATAGGGATTTTTTTTTTTTTTTGTCTTTCTGTTTCTTACCAGGATGTTTTTTGGGTTTCTACATCATCTCTTGCCAAACCATCCAGCTATGCCAATCTCTTCTTCATTTCTGCATCTCAGTCCCTCCCTCATAGCTTTTCAAGAGGAACATACGCAATCATGCCTTCCCATTGCTCTTGGAAATGGCATGAAATTTTGCCCTTTTTGCAGGTCCCCAGATGAGCTGATCCCTGAAATTGCTATGGAGTGGGTCTAAAAATTATAGCATGTGTCAGGCAGGCCCTGTGTGATGTGTACCAGCCTGTGTAGACATAACCCAAATTCCTTCTTCCTCTTGTGTTTCCTGCATGTGCAGCCTTCCTGGTCACTCTCTGGATACTGTCACCAGCAGGGACAGGCTGACATCTTAGTGGCATTTTTATTTAGGTTTGACATCCCCTGTTACTTGTTGAGAGGGTTAACTTGTGACCTGATCTGACTGCTAGTCCTTATCTCTGGAAATGATCCAAACCCAAGCAGGAATGAAAGGGAAAAAATTTAGGAGGAAACAACCTTTTAGGGTCTTGTACCCAGTGAGAACATTTTGGGTTGCATTTGGACTTTGCATTTGGGGAGGTTCTTTTTGTTTTCTTTGCAGAATAAACAAAATTCTCACAAAACTTACAAGGAGAACAAAATGTTTTACTTTTTCTTTTAAGGAAGACAAAGGGGGAAACAGGAAGAAAATTCCAATCTTTTTGTCAAGCAACAAAAATACCAGCCAAAAGAAAAAGATATTCAACACTGTGTTTGAAAAATCTGTAAGAATAGCAAAGGTGTAACTATATTAATTATACTTTCTCAGCTTTATACAAACACTTATAAAACATTAATGAATACCAGAGGGAATATTTTTCTTAACAAAAAATTAAAACACAAGCTTTTAATACCTATCCCAGGAAAAACAGTCAATTTATTTAAATAGTAGTTTAGAAGCCAGAAAATAAAACAATAAAGAGTAGTTACTTTTCTATGGATTTAAATTTTGGAGTTAAAATCTCTTGGAGTTCTGTAGTGATTCTCAGGAAACAGCATTGCTGACTCCAGCAGAAAACAATTCAAATTGTGGTGATGTGGGAGGCGGAGCCTTTGAAACCAGTGGAGCATGTGGAGGAGTCAGAATCTTAAAAAATGCCAATATTATTTCAAGAAGGAAAAAAAAAGTATTTCCAAAAGGAGCAAAACTGGAAGGTAATGAGAGTTAGCTTCTGTGTTCTGCTTGGACTGAAGCTCACATTTGAAAGCTGATATGGGCTTTTCCAAGTGCAGGGATAGTTTCAAGAATTAACATTATCAGCCACGGATACTGATGCCTAAACCCACACTGCTTGAGCAAAAGTCAGTTTGTAAATGCCTAATAAAGGATATGATGGACATTTCTTTTTTATGAGATAACCAAGAAACATGTTTTACTTCATATTTTAAGAAATTAGACTATATCAAATGTGTAATAAAAATATTTTCTATAGGATTTTTAAAATATATACATATATAAACTACCTAAATTTTTAATGCCCTGTTGATATTGATGTGGTCTCTACAGGTTTTAAATGTAACTAAGTGAGGCTGCCCAGCAACCTCCATTATATCTCAGTGACTACAAAACTTGAAGCTTTGTCCGCACTGCAACTTAAACCTGCTTGAGAATGGGATCTGAAATTGCCTGCTGGGCCTGATCCAACACCCACTCATAGCTAAGTCCACTCCTAACTGCAGGATTAGGTCTTAGACACAGTCCCAAAATGATGTGGCTTCCAACCCAGTTGGCTGATCAGTGATAAAGGCACCTGAGGAAGTTACTGAGAGCCTTGAGGCACTTCTTGAAAAAATAAAGGTTGTTATATATTTGATTTAGAATATTTAAAGATATACAGGGACAGTCGTATGACAATTTGAGCACATCTCTATTTTGTGCTGAAAAGAGGCACAAACTGTCTGAGTCTTGGACATAGCCTATGCCCAGGCACTGGATATAGACTTCAGTCAAGCTCAAGCAAGGCTGAGAGCCTGGGGGTGATAAGAGAGTGAAGGGCATTCAAGCCTTCATCCTTCCCACCACATTCATCTCTAGATCCCAAGCCTTGCTTGCCCAGCCCATGAGGAGGAGATAAACTGGCAGGAAGAGCTCCTGTGTCAAGTGCCTGCAATGGCCCAGAGGTCTGGGCTGGCACTTCCATCAAAGACAGCCTAAAGCTGATGGTGGAGGTGGGTGAGAGAGGAGAAGCACCGATGACTGTCAGGCCCTGTGTCCGCTGAGTACAGCAACGACATGGCTTTGGGCCGTGCCAAATCCAGCTGGCTTTCCTGTTTAATCTGGCACTGTGTCTAAAGCAAGTACAGATTCATTTTCCACGCAGGGTTTGAAGCACAGCATAGACAAGGTGTGAGGGCCAGACCCTGATCTAATGCAGACAAAACTTGCCACTACCATTGGCCTGAGCACTTACCCTTGCATTATACTTTCAGGTAGGTACCATGGGAGTTCTCCTGCTTCAAAGAGTTAATATAGGGGATTTGGCCACCTGCAGAAGAAAGTTTCTCACTGAGCTTTCGGTTCACCAGTTCCATGTGCCTGGAGTTTTTCCTGGCTTGCCGCAGGGACCTCTTGACTTTCTTCACTCGATCTCGCAGCTGCTTGTTGCGCTTCTCCAGCGCCGCCACCTTCTGCTGCAGCTTCTTCACCCTGTCCTCCTCCTCAAACAGGGCCTTCTGCACCGAGGAGCACATGAGCTGTGGGGACAGCAGCAGGTGAGCTTTGCACAGAAAGTGACCATAGCAAGGGTTAATTCAGGCTTTGCAGAAAACACCTCACAGATTTTCAAAAGCAGAATGATTTTTTGAGGCAACTTTTACTTTGTTTTTATATCCTTTTAAGTAAAATCCTCTCTTTCACTTATGGATTTAGTGAAGACCCGAAATTGTAGATCTTAATGATACTAGTGATTCAAAATTGCTTTTATGAACTGTTTTGTCAGACCTGTCCAGTACACGGAGGCTACATTAAGTTTATGGAGAAAGGCTGCCCTAATTCTGGTACCAAACTGGAGTTCAGGTCAAGGAGTGTCACTTTTGGAAAATTCTAGTTTTGATTCAGCTAAGCAGCCCTTCAGAAACCCCAGATTCTGATAAGAACCTGCCTTTTGCTCTTTATGTCAACATGTGAAATAAGGACACTGCAGGCCAAACACAGAACTGGTTATTTTGCTATTCTAAGTACAGAGGCATCTTAAACACCTCATTATATTGGCTTGTTTAAGACAAAACCCTAGAGGGTAAGATCTCAGCAGTCTCTAGGAGCATCCACGATCCCATAACTTAAACATAAGGTATTTAGGGGGTAATGGCCTGAAAACTGCCCCTCCCACTCTACCCTATACAACTTACTGCAATATTGCCCCTAGAAAGGACATCAAATTGTTGACGTTCATGCCAGTGGCTCTTAGATAGGAAATAAAAAAGAGAGGTGGTTTCAAAGGTGCTGCCCCCAAGGCATCACTAGAAGAACAGCTCACAGGGTATTTTCAAATCCACTAGGCTGGGTGATGGTACAACTGCAAAACATCTGTTGGACAAGTGCTCATCTTCTACTACCTCATCCTAGGATGACCCAAAAGATCTCTCCTATCTCATGGGTGTTTTTATGGTCTCACTTGTTTCCTGTTTGTAGGTGCAGCAACAGGAGTGGGATGACAAACACTAGCTGAGGCTGCTGAGTAGTCAGTTCCCAGCGCACACCCTCAGTCACGGTGGGATTCAGCTGCCTTCTCTTAAGCAGCTAAAAGTGAGACTTAGGTCTGGGTTCCCCTCCCTGTAATGTCTGCAGGGAGAGACACCCTTCCAGGGGCTGATTTGCACCTCCTAGGGCAGAGGGAAGAATCACTCTCTGAGCACAACTCTCTCCTTTTACTGACCACAAAGACACCAAGTTCCATTTTTTTCTACCTGGAACACATTTTCCAGGCAGAAAAAGAGGAGGTACCTGGAGCTAAAGGATAGCTCCACCAAAAAGTTTCTGATTTAGAAGATCCACATCAAAATTAATTTCTCCTCAGGTGCCTCCTGCTTTCTTTTTGCCCTACAAAAAGTATCCTGAGATATTTTATTGTGCATGTGGGACTTTTGTCTTGCTGCTGCACTGTGAGGACAGGCAGTGTATTCTGCTGGATTTATCTTCTAAATACATCTAGAAATTTTTCTATGTGTGTCAAGCACTCCTGGAGTCTGGATGGGTTTTCTCTGGCAGAACATTTGGAACAGACAGGGAATCTAAATAAACAAGTAAATCCTGACTGTGATGATGAAGGATTACATGTTTCTTTCCATCTTACTTTGTAGTATTTTCAACAACTGAAATCTGGGGAGGGAGCCTGCCTTGATGAATAACATTTCATTTGCTTTGGAAACCCCCAGCAGTGGGAAACCATGGCCAGGCAACACAAACACAGCAACTGCTTCTACTCCCTTGGAAGCTCTTGTTCCTTGTGCAAAAGCACTGCAGGGTTTTGCTATGTGGCAAATTCTTACCCCAACTTCTCTCTCTAGGGCTGTTTTATAAATGCATGCCAACGAGATGGGGAGCTCACAGATAGAGGGCTGGAACTTGTGCTGAAAAGGAAAGAGTTTGGTTTTGATCGCTGTTCAATCCAAGTGGTCTTTGAAAACAGCCAGCACATCTTGGCTTTTGTGTTTGCCAAACCCTTGCAAAACCTCAAGCAGAGCCCTTCTTGAATTTAAATCCCCGTAAAGGAAGACACTGAGTTAGGGAAATATGATTGTTGGGAAGACATGAGGTGGAAACTCTACTTCACGAGGGATTTCCTGCATTTTCCGTGGATGCAGTGATAGGCATGGCCTATGCCAGAATTCAGTGCATAGAAACAAACACTTCATGCTGCTGAAGTGGGAGGTTGTGTGAACCCAACTGCGTTTCATCTGTCTGGGCTGGCTGATGGGGGAACAGCAGACATCAGGGGTAGCATTATCCTCATGCCGGAGACACTCCCAAACATTTTGAGGTTGGTCATTTGTCAGTAGAGGCAGACCTGCTCTACAAAGCCACTCAGAAACCTCTCAAACACTATCAAAAAGCTAACCAGCTCATTTGCTTATACTGTTTTTCTACAGTCCTCACTCTCCAGTCTGAAACACACAATTAGGTTGCTTAAATTATCTGGAGATATCCAGAGACACCACAGGAACAGCACAGTTCTAAAAGACTGAGGTACTATCTGACATGCACAGCTTTGTTTGCCAACAGGGTAGGTGATAGGAAGAGCCCAGCTTGATAACTGGATGCCTGCCTGCAACTGCAAGACTACCAGCTGTAAAATAAACACTTTATTCCTTCTATATAGGGAAAAATAACAAGGTGGTGTTCTCATTCTCACTGTCTGGTTGCAAACAGCATTTTTCACAGGACTCTCTGCAGTGGGGAGGATGATGATGGTGGTGGTGGTGGTAATGATGATGATGTTTAAGTGTGAGTGCTGTCCTGCCCTTGCTGTTATTGCTGTAGCTGTGATTCACCTGGCTGCAACCAAGTGATCCTCAAATTAGTGCTGAGAACTGTGTAAATGTGACAGCTGAGAGTTCAGCACAGCCTGGATAACCAACCCAGCTGCTGAACAAACTGGTGAGAAGTTAACCAGTCCAAGTTGCTACTTGGATGCTTGGGAAATGAAGAGAAGGACTAGGAAATGGCTCCTTAGGCAAAACTTATAGGAAATTTTCCAAATTCCATTCAAAATTTGGATTCCCTAATGACCCATAATTCAGAAGAGTTGTTTGGTCTGAAGGTCAGTCTGCATGTCTGCTTGTTCCAGTTTTGTTAGGAAGGCATCCTCAGCAGTGGTACACTCAAGTTCAGAGCAGTACCAGAGATGTAATGAGAAAGATGGCACAAGAACCATACAGATCCTGAGGATTTACCCAGGACAGCCTACAGCTGTGAAACTGCATATTAAATCTCTTTGAGTATTTGTCTGAGACACAAATACACCGAGTTTAAAGTTTCACCATATCTAGGAGATATAGAAAAAAATCTGCCAAAGAACTCAGCACTGTAATAAATAGAATAGAATCACAGAATCACTGAGGTTGGAAAAGACCTCCAGGATCATCCAATCCAATTATTAACCTAACAAACTGATTTTGGATCATTACATTATAGGCATGCAAATCCCTTACCAAACACGCTGAAGTGATGCATGTACACGCTTTTCTTATTGACAGACCTGCCTTCTAGAAGCTTGATTTGAGGGCACAATGGATAAAGGTGCCATGGATGAGGGTGTCATGGTAGTGCTCATCCACCACAAAATGTCCATAAGTGGTTGAAGTTAGTGTCACAGAACTCAGGTCACTCAAAACCCAGCAGTGGTACCCAAGTCTTGCCCTTCACCTACCCAAGGGAGAGATGTTGAGTCCCAGCTGTCTCCTCATGCATGCTCCTTATGGCAACACTACTGAAAGCACCGGAGTCCCACTACCTAAAAGTCTTTCCTGTGGGAGCGAGTGTGTTGCATGGAAAGAAAGATGAGGAATCAAAGAATAGTGGGAGAGGTCTGGCAGAGGGGAGTATTTGGTTTGGGATGGAGTGACTTAACCTCCAGTTACTGGGATTTTTCAGCCAAGACTAATGCTTGTGCTGAAGTGTGGAAAAGTCCCTGTCAGCGCTGTTAAAGCATCGTGTTGGGTGAAGTGGTGGGGGCATGGCAGCACTGAGTTAAACCACCTTTGCTTGCTGCAGGAACAGCACTTTTAGAGGAACAGAACTGGGGTCCCAAGGACATATCCAACATCACTGGCATTAATGGAGATAAACTGGGATTTTAGGACCTCGTATGCATCAGCAAGATGCACAGGACCTGGATGGAGAAAGAAATTGTTGTGGCTGTTGTTACCTTGCTGAATGCTGGGTCAGCATTTGCCACAGGAAATGTAATGTTTGTAATCTCTCCAACTCATTCAAAATATTAGAGATGTGGGTTTCTTTGGGGTATGAAGCACTGCCTACAGGAAGCTTCTTCCAGGCTACACCCATCCCAAGGTGTCTAAGCGCTGTTTTTTCCCTCATTTCAGTCCTCAATGAAAGCAGATTTTCTCTTTAAGCTCCTTAGATGCAGCTAGTCAAGGGAAGTCATCTTTCCCAACAGCTGTCAGAGAGAAATGGGCACATCCTAGAGAAGACATCTTGCCTACCTTAGACGCTTCCCTTAGGTGGGCCACCTTTGGAGACTCCTGCTAGATAAATATCTCAGATGGGGATGGATGTCACCATGAGCCCCATCAAATGGCATCTGAATGGCACTGATTTCCCAGGACAGGCTGCAAGGGCAGGATATAGACAATTTTCTTGGAATTTGGAGAAACTTGCTCTGGAAACAGACCCAAATCCATGTCCATGGGCTCTTGCAGGTCTTTAAAAAGAGCTTTGTTCTGACCTGCATCAAATCACTGCTTGGTGTGGAGGTATCTGAACTGCTGGTGGCTCTCATCTGCAGTGGGTGTTGCTGGCATCCATTTCAAAACCCCGCAGTTCTTCAGACTCACAGCCCTAACACCCCTGCCCTGGCTGGGGGTGGTTTTACAGGATGCAGGGTCATTATGAGGCACTTAAGAACTGGTGAAAAGAGCCCCAGCCATGGGGGTACCTGAAGAGAGGTCCCTGGCTCTAAACACACACCTAGAGCTTGTCCTGAGGCATTGCTTTCTCCTGGCATTTGGAACCT